AATTCCAAGTGCCAAGGGCAGAGCTACAAGTGCCAATGGCACAATCCCAAATGCCAATGCCTCAATTTGTTTTGAATCCCCCATCTCAAGTGCAAAAAACATATGACCCATCGTCCTCAACTCAAGGCAGACAGCATCCGCTGGGTTGCCAATGTATAAATTGTCTATGCAACCCGTGTACTCCGTGTCCGCCTCAATACGGCCAAGAGAAGTTTTTAGGAAGCACGAATCTTGCCTCAAACCAAGGTGTTACAGATAGGAAACGGATTAGCGTAAACGACGTCTTTAAATCGCCCGAACAACTATTTGCAGAATGTAAGAAGCGTTCCGAATGTCAAAAATCCAAAGAAAATTCTCATCCACCCAATTGCGAGTGTGTGGACTGTCTCTGTTTGCCGGATATAAGAAAAATCGCCGAATTAAAGGAACATCCTGTAATTAGAGATGAGAAGCAAATCTACCAAGTAAAATGCTACTGCGAGAACACCAGAAAACCGTTGTCGGTTTCGAAGATCCCCATAGCCACTAATTCAACATCAGGACCTCCAAAAGCGAAAAGTACCGTCAGCTGTACTTGCGAAGAATGTAAATGTAGTCCTTGTTCCGATATCAATAAATCAGTGAGCAAAAGCTCGGATTCCCAGAAACCTGGTGGTGCGGATTCAAGTGGTCGTACAGACTCAAGTTCCCAACGCGAGCTGAAGATGACACCTAGTGAATTAGCCAAACTATGCGACTGCCAGTATTGTGAGTGCGCAGTATGCTTCGATAAGCCTCCGAAAAAAGAAGGTGAAGCAGTTATTGGAGACCCATCAAAAACAAGTGGAAGCAATAAGAACTGTTGCTGTATGGGTGCCTGTACTTGCGAAACTTGTCCTGTGGAACAGTTGGCCAAACAAGCTACAGCTGCAAGTAAACCAGGCTTGCCGCCTACACCTGCCCCAGCCGGTCTCCTTAAATCGAAGATCCCGGTTTTGACCGACCATCCTGAAGACTGTGATTGTGCAGATTGTTTTTGCCCCCACTCTAAAGCTAGAAATGGATCCGATTTTTCATTGGATCACCCTGACGATTGTGATTGTGATGACTGTTTTTGTCCTTATGCAAAATCCAGAATAGGAAAAACGGATTCGAAAACCAAAATTAAGGCACCTGCAAGCACTCCATTACCAGTTACATTACCAGTGAAAATTAGTAAACCGTCTATTCCAGTTAAGGGATCAGCTTTAAAAGTTCTAGGATGTATCTGTGGACAGTGTATATGTCCAGGTAAAGACGCCGCGCTGCAAGCGACAGGTGACCAATCACAAACGGTCTCCGAATGCCATTGTTCTATTTGCTCGTGTCCGGGCAGTGAAATTTTGAAATCAACTACTGCACCGGACCAAGCTACACCCACGCCATCTATGCCAGCTATTCCAGAAGGATCAACAATTGCCGATTGTGACTGTGTTGATTGCCAATGCAACCCGTGCGCCGATCCTAAACGAAGAAAACCAGGAGCGGTTCCGATTACTCCTTGCGATTGTCCAGAATGCATGTGTGAACCGTGCGCAGATCCAATTAAAGGGAGGGATAAAGGAGATACCCAAGATGGTGCAACAAAAGAGGAAAGAGGGATAATGGTCACTTCCAGCCACGCGGTTCGGCCCACCTCATCAACCGGCGTGAGTCCCACAGAGAACAGAGCAACTCACCCACCCGATTGCATTTGCGATGAGTGTCTCTGCGAGCCAGAGGAAAAACATGAAAAAGGCTGCAGATGTCCGGAATGTAAATGCGTAGACTGCTATTCGAAGAGAATGGCAGCTGAAGTGCACGCTGAGGGATGTCGGTGCGTTGAATGCATTTGTGCATCGTGCGAAAAAAAAATAGAAATGAGAACAGGGCCCAGCCAATTTGTAGAATCGGGCCCTGGAGAAACTAAACGTACGGAATCAAAAGACAGTTGTACTTGTGAGGTTTGTAAATGCGTGGATTGCTTCCATAAACCTAGAAGACCAGCTGCGAAGGGATGTACTTGCGCTGATTGCATTTGCGTAGAATGTCCAGACGCAACGAAATCAGGAAAAACAGTAACAAGTACCGAGGATGGGAAAAGCAGCAGTCCACCTTCAACTGTTCAACCAGCGCCTATTACACACAAATGTCATTGTATAAAATGTACTTGCGACATTTGTACCTCCACCGCTTCCTCGAAAGATGGATACCCCAAGGGGTGCACCTGTGAGGTCTGCCAATGTTCTGACTGTGGAAGCACGAAATTTGGCCCAGAAACGACGGGAAAGGATTGCACCTGTGTGACTTGTCAGTGTGATGACTGCCAAAATAAAAAGAAGGAAGAGTTAAAGGACGCCTCAGCCATGCCCACAGCCCGTGGTGATGAATCGGAAGCTGCGCCGCACCCAAAAGGTTGCGATTGCGATAAATGTATATGCGCAGAAGAACTAAATGAACCAGCGGGCGTCACGGATCAGCCTCCTGATGCTAGTAAAGATGCTAGTAAAGTAGTTTCGCCATTCACTGATCCTCCTCCATTCGAAGTACCAATCCGTAAGCGATGCACTTGTGGTAAATGTGGATGTTCGGAATGTAGTAAAGAAGAAGAAGCACCAGCTGCCAGTCAATCAGTTAGAGCAGTGCCACCTGCAACCGCTGAAGCTCCACTGTTCGAGGTCCCTGTTCATAAACCTTGTACTTGCGGTAAATGCGATTGCATTGATTGTAATAAACAAGCGGGGGTTCCACCTCCTCGTTCGTATGGTCTACCGCCTTCCGTTTCTTTTACCCTTCCGCCTACGACAACGACAACTCAAACAACAGCAGAACAGCTCGTACAAACAACTCTACCAGCTTCTACTTCTCTCGCAACTACTACTGCTAGGCCAGAAGCTTCCAAAATATGCACGTGTCAAGATTGTGATTGTATGGAATGTGCCCAACACGGAGCGCCTCTACAAACAACTATTTCCGTCCCGCAAACAACTCTGCAAGCTTCTGTTTCTTTCCCGGGTGTTCAACCCACAGCAAGGTCCACAAAAACAACGTGTGATTGTCCAACGTGTACCTGCCCAGAAGACACGATTAAAGGAGCGGCGACATTTACTACAACAGGTGTTCTAACCGTTGCCAGTAAAGCAACTGAACCTTTAATCAAGAGCACAGCGGGATCCGCAATGACCAATTGCGATTGTTCAACTTGCACCTGTTTAGAAGATGTCTCTAAAGGAGCGTCGACCTCGCCTACCGCAACAGGTGTTCTAACCGTTGCCAGTAAAGCAACTGAACCTTTAATCAAGAGCACAGCGGGATCCGCAATGACCAATTGCGATTGTTCAACTTGCACCTGTTTAGAAGATGTCTCTAAAGGAGCGTCGACCGCGCCTACCGTAACCGGTATTCCAGCCGTTTTCAGTAGATCTACTGGACTTTTCAACAAGGATGTGGTAGAAGGGCATCCCGAGGGATGCGTCTGTCCAGAGTGTTGTCTGTGCGAAACGAAAACGCAATCTAGCCATATTAAAACTGAAGTCAAGGAAGAAATAGTCAATCAAGAAATAGTCAATATCAGCAAAATGGATAACGAAACCTTGAGAAAAAAGATACAAACGGATAAGAAAGAGAATTGTAAGTGTAAGGAGCAAATTAAAGAAATTCGTCGGGCTTTGGATAAAATTAAGTGTTCTTGCACTGAAGCTGAAATGAAGGCAATAAGGAGTAGTTCGGGCGGTAAGCCATTTGTAAAGCAGGCATCTGCTTTTGGGCAGACTATGTCAGGACTGAAATTTGCACTGAATAATTTGCAGGACAAGTGCAAAGCTAAAGATAAGCTAATCGAAGCTATGACCGGCGAACTCAAGATGCGGACCAGCAGCAACACTTTTGATAGGGTATTGAACACTAACGCGATATCAGACGTACCCGATTACGATAAAGCAGATGACGTAAAATCTGAGGACCGACCACCTGATAATACGACGAATGTATTGTTTCCGGTAAATGAAGAAAGGGAAATAGCGAGCACAAGCGCCAGGCAAAAAAGTAGCGAGCATACTGGTCACAGGCATAAAAAAAAATCCAAACTTTGCAAGTGCGGGAAACATCACAAGGACAAAGACAATTCAAACGTTGAATTATCCGGATTTGAGGTGGTAGATATCCGTAGAATTACACAAGATAGCATCATTATAAAATGGAAACCACCTCAATCCAGGCTTATAAACGGCTACGACATTTTCGTCAACGGAGTGAATAAATCCAAAGTCATGAGTGGGGGTAGGACGAGTGCCATGGTTCACTCTCTCGATTTGTCATCCACCATCCAAATAACTATTTATGCTGTAACCAAGTGTGGGCGTTGCGAACCGCCGGCGATCGCCATTTATGAAATCAACACCTAAATATTAATGCACCACCATTTTATATCCTTTGACATGATTGTGATTTTTAAAATAAATATATATTTGTTGCGGTCAGATACGCATTAGTATTTTATTTCAGTTGGCACCAAATCAATAGTAAGTACTTGTAGTAGGTGAGCAGCTACTTGCTCAGCACACCTTGATATACCTATACTATATTACACCAATGTAAAAGTCCGTACGATATTTGTCGAGATATAATTCCAAGAAAACCCCTGCGTCAGTTTCTTGGAATTAACTGCATTCGATACTCGAGGTAGAAAGATATTGCCGGAAAATTTCATCAAGGCTACTCCTATCATGTTCAATTTACCTGACATATAAACGGTTGAAATAAACTAGGATTAAATTACTTAGGATTATATCTACTCCTGACATGTGCAAAACCTCCATGGAATATGATATTAAAAAAAACTCAACCGTATGGCACAAATTATCTTTTTGTTACACTATAGCATTAAGCGAGTGTAAAAAGTGTAATTATACCGAACAGCAGCATATCGCTTGTTTCCTTCCATCTGTAGTCTATGGTTCCATCCTTTCTATCTTAAATGACGTCACTTTACGTCACAAACTCCATATAGGAGCAAGGATTTATGTCATTTGTTTGACAGTTTCCGAGAAGGTGTATTATCAATAATACATTTTTTTATTACCATCCAGATGTTTCTTAAATTTTTCTTTTATTTGTTTATCTGTGATAATGTAGTAATAACTTCTAAGTCTCCTTTAGTGCAATGTTAAAAATATTACAGGAAGAGTGGGCTATTTTTAGTTGAGTGGTGGAATCATTAACTTCAAAACAGGTCATGATAACAAAGGAATATCAATAAATTGTAAAAAAAATCAACCATAATGAACAATAAACGTAAGTCAGTGTTTAGAGAAGTTTACAATCGACAGTATAAAAATAAAATCACCAAACTTTGGGATAATGCAAAAGGTAAGTTGTAAAAGTAGACCTGGTCTGCTATTTAACACAATGTTTATTATTTCACAGATGACGAGAGCTTAGTTCAACGATTAGGCCTTCTTAAAAGTTTGCCTATCCATCAAGGTTGTGTAAATACTATTTGTTGGAACGAAAGTGGAGAATATATCCTATCAGGGTCAGACGATCAAAACCTAGTTATAACAAACGGTCACAACTACAAAGTCAAAGCAAATTACTGCACTAGTCATCATGCCAATATTTTTAGTGCTAAATTTTTACCTTGTACAAATGACATGCAAATTGTGTCCTGCTCTGGAGATGGGATTATTCTTCATACAGGTAAAAGCCAAAAGGGAATTAAATTCACTGCCTGTTATAATATTCATTCATATTTTGGTTAAATCATAACGGTTGTGATTTATTTGTTTGTCTGGTGAGCAATTTAAAATGCATATAAATTATTTTAGATCTAAATAGACCTCAAGAAACTTATGACAACCAATTCAACTGTCACGCTGGAACAACTACTTATGAAGTTATTACTATTCCGAATGACCCCTATTCATTTTTAAGTTGTGGAGAGGATGGCACCGTTCGCTGGTTCGATTTAAGAACTAAATCAAGGTAAATGTAACTTGTTTTAATACATTTTGCACCAAAATTAACTAAAAATGAGCCTCAAATTCTAAGTTGATTTTCTTGTGTATGACTAATCTCAAAATCTTTATATAATACATTTTTTTCTTAGTTACAAATATAAATTTGTATTGAAATCATTCTGTACAGTCTGACAGTTAAATTAACATGTTTTTTGCAATTAGTTTGTGGATTGAGATCATTATCTCCATTATTAATTGAGATACACAGTTAAATTCAAGCACATCGGTTTCTTGTAAAAAAAATCTGTAAGGTTAAGGGTAGACAATTTTTAAACCATCATCCAAATCTTTTATATTTTCTCAGTTGTGACAAACAACGATGCAAGGAGGATATTTTAGTATCATGTCAAAGGGCAGTGACGGCACTAGCCATCAGTCCCACCGCCTCCCACCAGCTTGCGATTGGCTGCGCAGATTCAACGGTTCGCATATACGACAGAAGATACCTGAGTACTCAACCCGGAGGTATATGTCGTCACGTTATTAAAATGGCCGCATAACCCAACCTTATATTTCAGAGCATCTGCTAGCTCAACCGTTCTGCACGTTTGTTGCTCCACATTTTGGGGACGACAGGCACTACAGAATTACGTCTCTGAGCTACAGCAATGACGGACAGGATATGCTTGTCAGTTATTCTTCAGACTATCTGTATTTGTTTAATGTTCAGGTAAAGTCAAGAGTGTAAACGTATAAATTCTTTACATCTTATCGGAGCTTCTTAAATAGCGAACATAACCTTACTTTCTCCAAATGATTCTGTGACTTTGTGCACGTAGGAAACCACTCGTACTGAATTAAGGAAGCCCATGAAGAAAATGTCACCCTGGGACAAAATCAAGGCTGTGACTGGTAAGCGAGAGAGATTATCTCCACCCCCAGTTAGAAGATTGAGACTGCGTGGCGATTGGTCCGATACTGGGCCAGACGCACGTCCTGAAAGGGATACCACAACAACTGTCAGTAAGTGTAGTAAATCGTTAGCAACGATCAGCGAATCTGTGTCATTTAATAAAACACTAGAAAGGTAGGCTAGTCCGCTCACGCAGACTTGACCTTTCTCTCGGGCCTTCGGCCCTCGGGCTTTTAATATATAAGGACTTGTGTGCTATTTCTGGGTTTATTTCTTTAATTTATCATTTTGCAAGGTATTGGACAGGCTAGGCCTCAGTTACAGGCGACTCTAATGCAACGAATGACCGACGTGTTGTCTCGCATGCTCAACGATCCCATGACGAGGGCCGCCTTGAGTGCGGGCGGAGAGGATTCGTTAGATCCTGATGAGAATGCTCAGAGAATTCTTGAAAATAGGGAAGGAAACCCATCAACCCCTCAAGAAGAAAGTAGCAGTATGGAAACGGATCAGCCGGCTCAAAGTCAGTAAGTTTCATAAAAACGAGGTTAGATTTTATAATTCATACAGTGATATTGGACGTTATGTCACGGTATTTTCTGTATTAATTTAAAAGAGCAGCGGGATCATCGAACGTAACTCAAGACAGCGCAACTTGCAACCCCGACGGCACACCGAGAACCTCCTCCACGTTGGGAAGCCACCTGCATAGTCACCTTACGGTGTTGAGGAACCTGCGGGAAGGCTTCATAGAGCAGCACGGGGCCGAACCGTCCGTTAGCTTTCGATATTCTCAGCAGAGTACGTCCAATTCCACGATTAGCCTCAGAGTTGGCAACGAGGTCAATAATAGAAACTTCGAGGAGGAATCTGCTACGGGTGGTCCTTCCACTTCGATGGACGACGGCAATAGTACTGCCGAAGGCATCACCGAACAAATGGTGAGTTTAAAATTTGTAATCTTAGAAAATGTTCACGCAACAGAATTAATCAATTAAGCGTATTTTTGACAATTTTTTTTTAAATAGAAGGAAAAGTAATAGGAAAAACTGTTTAAGTATGTTATTAGGCATGTATTAAGTGTACATAATTTTTTTTTTAATTTCAAAATGGCGGCACTGGAGCCATTCGCCTGAAGCATGTTGCCGTCGAGGCGTTCCGCGGCATGCACTAGAACTAGTGCAAATTTCAAGGTGGAGCAAAAAAAAATTGCTCTTAATCTACTTGAGTATAGCTAGAGAAATACGTACGGGATTGTAAAAATATTGTTTTTTGTAAAATTGACAAGTGTTTAAAGTAAAACGTAAAATTTTTGATGAAAAAAAAAGGGCAGTTATTTGTTTACAACAATTGTTTAAATTAATTTATCGAAAAATCCGTTCGTGTTTCTCTTCAAAATGTTTTTTTAAATATGTGGTTAAAATTTCAAAAGGAAATATTGAAAATTGTTGGAGTTATGACGCGTGCCGTTTTGAAAAAGCGTGTTTCGAGAAAAACGCGTTTAAAGTTTTAAAATGAGTTTTAGACATGAACGTGCACTGTTGCTACCCTAACGTACTTCTGTTTGCAAATTTTGCTTGAATTGTAAACGCATACTCCCTAATGACATCCACGAGTGTTTTAGAGAAGTTACAAATCAATAGGTAAGAAGGTACACGGTACCTTCCGAGCGAGTATACTCACAGGCAGGTAGCTGTATGAGAGACGCCCGACACGCTTCAGGAAAAGCGCAGAATTAAAAAAAAAATTTCATTTATAAAACCGTTTGCCTCATATTCTAGAAGGTTCAAACTACTTTTTAAGGAAAAAAAAAAACGATTTTTTCAAAAATTTTACGTTTTTATTGTATAACATAACATTTTTTCTATCAAGGGAAATTTATGAACAATGCGATTGTTGTTAATTAGAAATTTTAAAATAACTCATTCAGTGATTATTCGAAGTTTCATTTAATAAAACACAGTACTGTTTTTTATCACTTGTGTTTACACATTCATTGCATACTTGATAAGTAAAAGTTATGAAACTTTGGTCGCGGTAGATATCCTGAGTTAAATAAATAAATTTATGTACTATGATTGGGTAGATAAATTCATACTACTCTTGGCGGGCCTGTTGCCTGGATTAGTTCAAGATGTCTACGGCAAACGATGTCATTGTTTCATTTAGTTGGAATATTTTTTACCTCGGAAGGAAAAACACTGAAAAATTACAACATTCCTGGTTTATTTTTGTAAAAATTAATGTGATATGAATCCACGTTTCCAAAAATAGCAAAATAAAAAAAACGTGTTAGATTGGGTCCTGCTGGAGAGGATGTTAATTGAATATAACAAAAAGGTTATACAGGGTGTTCCTAAATAAGTGTCGCAACGGAAAACTGTAAATTCCTCCTCCTCTCAAAAAGAAACATTTTTTTCCTCTTCCATTTTTCTCTCCGGGCTTTAGTTTTCGAGATACACGGTGTCAAAACTTTAATTTTTTTTTAGTTTTTCGCCAATATCTTAGGAATCGTTTGAACTACAGGACTGAGCTTTTGTACACACATTACCACTATTAATAGCTACTTTTTCGCACCCTTCTCGAATTCATTGGACGTGCCAGTGGTGGAGATTTTAAGGTATCGTAAGGGTTTTTCCCCCCCTAAATTTTACGCCACTGGAAAAATTGACTTTTGACAGCAAATTCTAAAGCGCCAATGAATTTTACACAATAAGAGTTCTCTTGGTTCATTGCTCTAAAGTCAACCGTTTTCAAGAAAAATGACTTTTTATGAACAAAAGCAAACATTTTGCTAACGTTTCGAAAATCTTTTGTAATTCAAAAAATAGGTAGTAATAATTAACAATTTTAACGAAATTTAACAACAGATAGGATTTTAACTTTTTTTTATCAATTTGGTGAGTAAAATTTACAGAAACTGTTCAAAATTACGTCCGTTGGCTTGAATGCACGCATTACATCTTCTAATCATGTTTCTTTCTGCCGCTGCGGCTTCACCTCTATCGGTCAACTTTTGGATAGTATTGACATGGAACTGTATAAACATGGGTTCACAAATCTATAGTTTCCGAAATGCAAGTTATTGGATTAAATAAAAATCATCCCTTTTAAAATATCCCTGAAGATGTCTGTTACAGAATTATGAAACTTAGCAAGGTTCATAGCGGCCCGGGAATACCGGGAAAAGTCAAGGAATTCATTATTCTTCATAAAAAACAGGGAATAGTCAGGGAATTTTAAAAATATATATGAAAGTCAGGGAATTTCTGCTACTGGAAATTTTGTGAAAGCAGGCCCTGGGTTCTTAAAAGAGAAAACTATTTGCGGTTTTGAAACATTTATAAGAGGTTCTTTAGGTATAAAAAAGATTATGGAGTCCAGTCGAGAAAAAGTTTAATGCATAAACATCAATTAGTATGTAAAAATGAACTACAAGTGACCTGGATTTTTTTTTATAAATCAGGGAAAACCTGGAAATGTCGGGGAATTCTTTATTATTTTTGAACTATGAACCCTGCTTAGGCTAATGACAATTAAAGGTAAAAGTCTACTAAATTCAGATATAAATAATTATATGAGTGGCAGAGATACTGGCAGTAACTCTGAAAACCCGATGCCAATTTCTGGGACAAAAGCTGTCTCCCCGAACGATTTTATATATGTACATGGTAAAAATTGTATCCGATTTAATTGTGATGCAGAATACCGATGCCGAGCTGGATTACGAAGAAGAAGACGAGGAGGAGAGCGTAACTTCCGAGCCCGCAGATAAAAAGACTGAGGAAAAACATAACATCTTCGAAGCAGAAATGAAAATGAAGTACGTGGGACACAGAAATGCTAGGTAAGCACGTTCTCGGGAACTAAAGTGATATATGTAAAAGAAATTTATTCACAGGACGATGATCAAGGAAGCCACCTTCTGGGGTAACGATTACGTCATGTCGGGTTCGGATTGTGGACACGTTTTCATCTGGAACCGTCACACCGCCGAACTGAAGATGCTGCTGCAGGCCGACCAGCACGTCGTCAACTGTCTCCAACCCCATCCCACCCTGCCTATTCTTGCCACGAGCGGCATCGACCATGACATTAAACTGTGGGCCCCCATCCTGGAGGAACCTTCCTTTGACACCAAAATGGCGGACGATGTAAGTCATCTTACATAATCAGAATTTAGTAATGTTTTGTGTGATTTTTCAGTGCAGTTTTATTAAGTCGCAGTATTCTAGATCCGTTTTTTGTAATTCAGATTGTTCAAAATTTTTATTACATTTTTCCGTTGACCTTAATAATTTAGCTTTTCTTCGTTAATTAATATTACTTTTCAGAAATCATATCATTTTACGTCTGTAAATATTTCATGGACTCGATTACGTTATGTTCGCTTATAAAATACACTTACGTCAAAATTAACACACCACTGAAGTCAGGTCCCTTTTTAAGTTGATTTTTATTGATATTTAACTTTTCAAAAACGGTCTATGCTGTTGACGGATGATCTTAGGCGTCTACTAGATATTGTGGGTGTAATTCCTTCCCAGGGTATTAGTTAAAAAGTTAATTTCGCCTGGTGCGAAACAAGTCATACTTACCGATTAGTAGGTCACTCTCTGCCAGTCTCAACTAATAACGGAATCGATTAGATTAGCCGTTCGCCAGCAAATTTTAATTTTTAGTGGTGTATTAATTTGATGCAAAGTGTGTTAAATCATTCCCAATACGCATTCTTGTCTTTGTGTACAATTTAAAAAAAAATACAATGCCTGTAGGACGAAAAATATCCCATAAATTACAGGACCCAATTAGAAGCCTTTTTTTTTTTTTGGTTTTCAGAAAAACAAGAGGACATTACGATTTTAAATAGGATATCCTATTCAACAAAATGCTAAACTGGTAATGAGATGTTACCTTGTTTTTCTTATACAGCATGATCTTGTACCGTTGCTTAAATCAGCGACGGCTGGTTAGAATCGAAGTGATAAGATCCATGCCTTTCTTTAGGGAATGATTTGTAAGCTCACTTCATAGTGAAAACATTTCAAATGAAATTTACTAAATAAAAAATTGAAATAGGGCGGCCGACACTAAGATCCTCAAAAAAATTGCACTCTTTTTTTGTAAATCGCAAATTAAATTTTATTTGTTGTACTTATTTGGATCTTTCTTTGATACTAATATTCCATTTTTCAATGTTCATAAAACGGTAACTTAATGAAAAATTTCGTGAAAAATGAGGAAACACGTTTGTATCCGGCAGTTGATTATTGTTCGAAATAACGCAAAAAATTAAATAGAACGAAAGACGAAATTTGCAATTATTGTTTTTGGATCTTACCTTTTGAATAATCTGATGATCTGGAGCTCTCGCAGAGAAAAAATAAGGGGGAGGGGCGAGTTTTCAATTTTTTTACCGACGCAAGACTGAGGCTTTTCTTCACAGGGCTTGCATGGCGCCGTCTTTCTGCAGATTCTCTCGTTGGGAATTATATGCCCACCCATTTATTTTAACACGTGCGCAAAGATCCGTTCTACCATTTCCAAATGAATAAAGACGGCATTGTAAAAGAAAATAAAGAGTTAATTGGCAATTATTGCTTTAATTGAAACTAAAGAATAATTAATACGAATTAAAATGAAAATATATTGTCGGTCGCTCCTAATTTTAATATTTTCATGGCAAAGGAGCCCGCACAAAACAAATGGCCGGTACATTCCAATAGACTGAAAATGTAGTATGTCGTGCTTCATGGCATACTGTTCAAATGTCCTCGTGGGCCCAACGTCTAACAATGGCTAGTTTTAGTAGTGGCGGTTCGTGACATTGAGAATAGGTGACGTATTGATTGATTGACCATAAAGAAAAAAAAAGTGTCGCAAGCGAAAATTTTCAAGGTCAAACGGCCTTTAAATGAATTAAAAATTTTTAGTTGCATTTGCAATATTGCCGAAAAATTGGCGTTTGCGAGAAGAATTTTCATTTAAGTTTTATAAAAAATAGAAATATTAGTTCAGCTCGTGGTTGTAATGATAGGTAGGTACAGGTTTCTTCTTAACTAACGCACACTGTATAAGTTCCAAAGAAGCTTCGTGGTTACGACAGCCTTGCGTGGCGTTCCCAAAATTGTTAAATCTCTCCTTATTCCACACGCCCGACTTTACACCCACAACTAAACGTGGCATACAGAAAAGTTTTTTTAAATAAAAACTTCCACACAACCACTTATACTCCGAATACCATTCATTCCGAAACTTCCAAACGTACACTTTGTCTTTTAACGTCCCCTTTTTTCCACATCGAGAGAAGGCACAGGTCTCTTGCAATTTAAAAAAACCTTTTTGCCTTCAATTTCCCATCTCTACTCTACAATTGTTGACATATTAACAAAGAATCGTTATAATCGTGCACTGTGCTACGTAACGTATGAAATGTTTAAAGGTATGCGATGGGCGGTGGCGATGCTGCATCAATTTTTGCGTCACTCGTTCCCCCATGCCGTAGTTTACTCTTGTGTTGGCTGCCTCGTTGCCATGACAACAGCTGTAAACAACGCTAAAAAAAAACACTACACACAGGCCCTGAAAGGGCCCGATTTATAAATCAGTCACTTTAAATTACTTATCCACTCCGTTGCGCGTTAAACAACTCCTTATGCCATATATTACTCTCTGAGATATTGGCAGATACCGATATTCCTGACCTTTGACCCTTTATATCCCTAAAACTGGCTATTTTCAGAAGTTGGGTCCATGAGGACACATTTTCAGTCCATTTGACTGTACCGACTTTTCTATTTGTTTTGTGCGGGTTCGTTTAATTCAAAATTTTTTCGTCGTTCCCTAAAACTTTCCATTTTTTTTTCCAGCTGTCGCTGTTTAAAACATTTTTCAAAAATAAAAGTATTGTGTTGAAAATGTTCGAAATCCTGTAACGTTCTTGTGATGCATTTAATATTCCCATAGTTCTCATGGTAAATGGAAAAGTAACATTTCCAGATATTATACCGGTACTTTTCCGATTCTATTGAAAACGTTTTTCCTTGCAGTTGATCAACCGCAACGCCATCATGTTAGAGGAGACAAGGGACACGATAACGGTACCCGCGGCCTTCATGATCAGAATGTTGGCCTGTCTCAATCAAATCAGGAGGGGGGCTAGAGTTAGGTCCAACAGACGACGGGACGAGGAGGAGAGTTAATTTAAATGTGTATTATTTATATCGTACGAATTTTAACAAATTGTATATTTTTCCATTTAAAATATAATTCGAATCTGCTTATTGGATTGTTGGACGTACTAGTTTTTTTTATATATATATATATCTTAGTTCAAATAATAGCCAGCGTAGCTAATGTTTCCACCTCTCAAGTACAGTTGAGTGTTTGTACTATTACTATTAAATGCCAGTTTCTCCATTAACTCGTGCACTAGGCAGTTTTAATATTTGTTAAATTAATATGGTAAAAACACGTTTTACTGCTGGAACGGTAAAGTTTTGTCGTCTAAATTGTACTGGACTTGAATTTTGATTGTGATTGTATAAATTTAAAATATATGTAAATATAGAATTACAAATTAGCTTTTGTTTTTATTTACGACAAAATACTAACTGCAACTTTTTTATAGCGCCGATAACACATTAGCTCTTTTGCTTTCGAGCTAGGCTCTGTGGGGGCTATCCTGCTATCAGAACCCCTAAGCCCGCACTTGTTTATTTCGGTTCGTCGTTCTACAGCCGTTATGGACGGAACCACCTCTCAGACAATGACGGTATGGTGGTGGTGTCTGAGGACGGTTTCATCCATAGTCGCCTTAGAACCAACAAGTACCGAAATGAACATCTGGCTGGGCCTAGGTGTTCTGATAGCGGGTCCGACCCCACAGAGCTTAGCCCGAGAACAACAAAGACAGGTCGATTATTATTCAATCTGATTTGTGTTGGTGATGACTTACAAGCAAAGAAAAGATGACAAACAAAATAATTAGTTTACAAGCGACGCACTATAACTCATTTGGACTCAGATACGGACAAAATTAAGTAGCGCCTCATAGAAAAAAGAAAAATAGCGTTTTAAAGCTTAGGTGGAACAGATTAAAGGGCCCACCCCATTTACACCCTCAAAATTGAGTCCCAAAATTATAACTGGACGAAAATTTACATTTTTTTCTCGTTTGGAAAAAATCTTTTTTCAAACGATACAAATCGTTTTTTATAGTTTTTGAGATGAAGAATAAGTATCCATTGTTTAAATTGAGCTAAAAAAATTTAGAACCCTTAAATTTACGAATATTTCAGTTTATGATGTTTTTAGCTCTGATTTTGCTCTTATGCATCGATTTGCTTGAAACTTGGACAGTAGGTGGGAAATAGCTCAAGAAACGAAACACACCCTATGCTGATATATATTTTTACCCTGGGGGTGGTTTCTACCCCTTTGTAGGGGTTGAAAATAAATTTTGCCAAAATAATCCCGGGAATCGATAGATCAACCAATTTCAAGCAAAAAATGTTTCATACAATTTTTTTGATAAACCAATACTTTTGAGTTATTTGTGATTGAAAACTCAATTTTTCAATTGAGAGCAAAAATGTAATTTTTTTTCCATAATTATAATTTTGAGGGTGTAAATGGGGAGCTGGTGAAATGTGATTATTTTCCCCTTAACCTGTTCCACTTAAGCTTTAAAACGATATTTTTCTTTTTTTTAATCTTTTTTTTATGAGGCGCTGCTTAATTTTGTCCATACCTAAGTCCAAATGAATTACCGAGCTTAGGCAACCAGCATAGTGCTGGTACCGATAACGAAAGTTCTCAAAATCTTGGCGACACCAATATTAGTGATTCGTTTACGATGAACAATGACCAACCATTACGTCTATGCTCAAGATAATGCGATTGGTTGAACAGAATCTCATGAAAAATTATGCCAGTCACAACCGGTTGTGCCAACATGAAAGAAATAAAGCTACTGTTGTGACATCCACACAACGAACGTACCAAATTTTATTTAAATTGGACAAATTTAAATTTTAACGCCCTCTAGCGGCTAAACAAAGCAACTTTAGATAAAGGTAAGTTCATTTAAATTAGCTTATATCAGCGGTGGTTAAGTCGCCTTTCCCTTGATTTTTTGTTAGAGATTTATAAGGAATATCCTGAAATTGTTGGCGGGGTTCTGCAAGTCGTAAAAGTTTGAAGACCGCTGGCTTATATTAACCCCAAGAATTTGTGATAGTTCCATGTACGCTGAGTATATAGACACCCTGTAGTAATTCTTCAAATATTGCCCACAGTTCAATAAAAAACGTGAATACTCGCCAGTTTTTCACAGCGAGCACTCGTAGACTTTTGTCGTATAGTTAAAAGTACAAAACACAGAAATGATTTGCTTTATTTATTCTTTCAATATCACTCGACATTACACTAAGATAACAACTGTAATCTAATATCACCCAAATTGTGCCATTTTGAAATCGGAGAACAAAATATAAAATCAGTTTACAATATACATATAACAATTTGGCAAACATTTTCATTAACAACTATTTTTCTTACTACTTACTAAAAACAAAACCAAGTTGCGTATTTAAAATAAATTACAATTTTTCTGAATTAAATTAGATTAAGTACATCGCTCGTCCAAATTATTTGGAAATTGACATGCAATTCGACTTATAAAATGAACGTACCAATAAGTAGCTTGGCGCATATTCATTTGATTTACTATTTTTAAAACAAAAACATAAAATTCACAAAATAAACTCGAAATATTTGTTCATACAATTATACCATTTTGGCTCTCATATTTTAAATTCATTTATAATTGGCTTACATGTGAAATAATTATTATTTACATATTTTACATGTACATAAACAGTAATAGCAACGGGAAATATCTATAATTAGACAGCCAAATTTTGCTATCGTTTAATACAGTGGCAGCTGGTGAAAATTAATCATAATTTGATCATAAACGGGACCCATATCGTTTTTTGCGGGATGGATATGTTTGTATGGAGAACTTTCATGACCAAAAAGTTTTGAACGCAAAAGGTCTCGAAAAACAAAGAACATATATACAAAATATGTTTTTTTCATAAGCTGCTAAAAAATAAATGAGTTTTCTTTACTAATCAACAAAACATATATTTTTTTGGTAGTTATGCCCATTTAAACTTTGATTTGATACTAATACTACTTTCATAATGCTGTATTAAGAAAAAATAAAATGTTTTGAAATATAAGAACACACCTGTTTGTTTCTATCTGTTGAATATGAAAAAAAATAGTATGCCATACACATGCAACCCTTTTCGGGATCTAAGGAGAGGTTGCCCTAATTTTAATTATTTATTTTGCAAATTTTGTTCAAAATTTTTTTGTCATGAGAGTACATGGGCCTAAATCAGCTCTTAAAAAATTCTTTCCACCTTTCATTATCGAAATACGACGACCTTAATCACTAGTCGCCACTGATTTGATACAAATTTATATGAAATTTTAGCTTTTAACTTTAAGTGTGCGTGTTTCTCTATAATTTGCACCTAACCTACAGCTGTTATTTTTGGAAAAAAAAGGCCATATATGTATAAACGAATTTTAATGAGAGGCTAGAATTTTGTATCAGATCCAACAAATGAACATCGAAAATATTTCAAAATGAAAGTTCTTTTTTTGTTTGTTGCTAATTCAACACCCTGTATATTTTTATATAGTTGGATTGTAAAAGAGGTATGACTAAAAGAATATATCATAAAATGTAACTATTAAAAGATAGTTGCTAGACAATTATATCTTTGCGCTTAACAATTTTTCTACCTATAACACAAATATCAATTGTAGATGTAGTGCAAAATATAAAGAAATACACTATACATATTCGGCTGCTTAGACTTTAAATATACAAATATACGTGTAAGTAATCCTAGTCCATTTTATTTAAAAATATATCTATACTCACCTTAATGTTTTATATGGTACCTACAAAGAACTGGTAGATAATTTATTTTAAGATAAGGCTATAATAAATTGTCGCCAATTAGAAATTTATATCACAAGTTAATAACGTAAATGAAAAAATGGAGCCCTATCTTAACGATGTATGATTTTCAGTAACGTTGTACGTCCAATTTGTAAAAGAAATAGATTTCCTCATAAAACTCACTGATTAGCTTTGACCAATAAACAACCTAGGTAAAGTTAAATCAAAGAAATTTGCCATCAAGTAATAAATACCCACACACACCACAAGTTCCAAAATAAGTGGAGGTACAGTGAGCAGTTTAGAACTTCCTGTGAAAGAAATAAAACAAAAAAAATATGTAATCTGGAATTAAGTACTAGGTACCATAATATGAATTTATAATAATGCGATATATAATTACGTAACTACTCAAAATAAAAAAAATATCTACACCTAATGATAACACTACTCAAATAACTAGCAGTGTCAAAAGAAAAAAAATAATTATAATAGTGACACACAAACCACTGTTCCTTAATCTTAATATATTTCTAAGTGATCAATTTTTGACTAGAATAGAAAACTATCTACCTAAGAAATCTAGAACAATACACTGCATGTATTTTGCTTAGAGCATTAGACAACAAATTTATTGTCTATATTTAAAACTTCTTGTTATTCGATGTGATTTGTCACTTATAATTCAGTTGAAACCTAATTAAGTAGAATTAAATAAAATTTTTTCATAAAATTTAAAGATAAAGTACATTGCCGATCTACATAACCACTTTTGCATACTTGTCAGTTTTTTGCCAAAACTATTAAAAATTGAAACGAAAATGGCACAATTATTAAAACTCGAACTAAAATTAAAAAAAAAGATCGAAGAAATACTCACTTTAATATGAAAACAAACTATTAATTGTTTTAATGTCATGTAGCACAAGAGTCTTAAGTTTGTGCTTACGTTATCGGTCATTTGTGTTTCATTATAAAAATATTATGCTAATACCGCCACACTGAATTAATTGTTCGAAACGCTTAACATAAGAATTCAAGTACCCAAAAAGTGTTATGTAGATCCTGTCATTAAAAGGTATCACAAATTAAATCACAAAATGGGCATACAGTAAAAAATATCTACATCTACGATATTCAGTTACCACACGATATATTTTATACGACAGATGAGGATAACTGTATCAGCACTGAGCGGTAAAAATTTTAATTTGTCCTACTGTATGATATTCTTTCCCATCACAAGAATATGGACGCAATATAATCACAATGGCATTAATGGAATCATATATGTAACGAATATTCTTTTGGTAAATTTTTTACCCTCCCAAAAAAAAAATCAATAAATAAAATGGCACTAATTCTAAAAATAAGCGCGAAATGGAGCAAACGTGAAAGATTGTTAAGAATTTCTTTTCTATTCAAAGATATATAACCAAGTGTAAAATATATTGAAAAAAACATCTATTATTCTATTTTAAAGAGAAAACACAAAAAACTCTACCAATACAGCTTCCTTTTGCCTTCCGCACATACCGTAATTCCAAGTAATTTATTATTTGCCAAACTATTTAGTTGAGGGTGCAATAGATTGTTTTTTTAATTTCTTTTAACTGAAGTCATGTTCCGTGCTGATATTATTTCAAACACACAATTTCAATTTAATAGTTAGACAAATAAAAAATCAGACAAGTACTATTATGAGCAGGAGACATAATTAACACTTGACGTGTTAACATGTGACGATGCTTCATGTTACAACACGATACGGCAAATAAGGTGTGCTCCCAAGTTTGAAAAATGCTTAATTAAATACACCAACACTCCAACAGTAATCTGGATTGTAATAATGCACGTTATATCGTGTTTTGAGCTTATGACGAAACATCGGATTAGTATATTGTTTCTTTTAATGTGATACATATTTTATAGCAGTTGTTAACACATTTCATGTTAATAATGTGTCCCGAGCTTAGGTTTAATTAATCTAGATGGAGCACTGAACTAAATATAAACTCATCTACATTGTCAAAATATTATGGAACTCATTTTATGAAACTCATAGTAAAATTAAAAAAATAAAGAAACTAGAGCTATTTAGTTACTACAATTATATAAAACTGTGAAATCAATCTCTACTTGTCACTGTTCTACTCTCAATATTGATTGTTACTGTTAATATCGTTGATTGTAAATGTTGAGTTTTCTTTAAATTCATCTCGAATAATTTACATAGAAATGTATGTTACTATTGAGCTTTGGTTGTTTTTCATTTTTTCTCGCAACACCATTGCGACAGACAAAATTACAACCTATCCTTTTCACGTTTTATACTCCCACTACAATCACCTAAATTAACATCACTATCAACGCTAAAACTAGAGTGTGCCTATGCCTCCTCGGGTTCTAACAAGTGCTGTGCCTCGATGATGTTATTTTGGAAAGTTTGTGGAAAACGCTTATTCAAAGCCGCCACTGTTGTTAGATTTTGTTGGCGTTTGATCATAATTAATGTTATAATCGCAGCTACTGTTATTAAAACTAGCGCTATTACAACTCCACCTACTGCAAGGAAATAAAAACCGGTTAATACACGTGCACCAAGCAAACCAAACTAGTTCTTATATTAAGTACAAAGTGTAGTGAAATTTCAAACACAAACATGTTGATCCCTCCCTGGTCAATCACGACAAAGTTGTGATATAATACGACCCATGAGAAACTAAAAATTTCTTTCGATACATTAGTAGCATGTTTTTAGACTTCAAAACATTTTTAACATTTGATTTAATAAAAATGTTTACGGTGAATATTATAGAAATACGGTAATTAACAAAATAAGTACACTGGCAGGAAAAAATTATTTTTTCACGTCAATGAAGAGTAATTGATTTAGTTATTTTTAATAATATAAATATTAATTTCCCAAATATTCTGACACATATTAAGAAATACATTAGCCATCACCAGCCCACATTTCCACATAAAAGAGCTTAACGCAAACAACCTTTTTTATACAATGCAGGTAGTCAAGTAAGAGAAGAACAACTTTGTAACATATATTTACCAAAAAAGTACAATACAGCTAGAGCTAGAGCAGTTACTTACCCGAGATGATGAGTATAGACCCCACGCTATATTGTCCATGGTTTCCTTTTAGAATGTCGACAATATTATCTAATGTACCATTGTTAGAAATGTGTGGTAACTCTAATATTTTGGTAAAGAGATTAAAAAGGTCAACTGTGTGAAAGGGAGCAACTTTGTGCTCGTTCTTAATTTTTGGGCCTCTGGCCATGAAGAAGGGGTGCATGTCTGTTACATTGTAATCGTATCCGTGTACGCCAAATTCTGAGCTGTTTGTAACTAAAATAAAAATAAACAATAATATTGCTGTTATTATATTATTGTTAGAGTTTGGGACACCCAGCTCATGACAAAGTCGTACTAGGCTCACCCTTCCAATTTTCATATCTATCGTTTACTGAATATTTACAGCGGTCGGACGTTTATTTTATTCGTATTACCGAGCTCCCTGATATATATTGCGAAATATATTATGCACTTTGATTCTTATTTGTTATGAGTTACATTTATTGCACGTGGAGGAATCAAAAATAGATTCTAAAAACAATAAAATTTCTGGCTCTTAGCCACAATACCAGAGCCTTAATTAAATAGTAACAATTAAGTCTTATTCATAAGCATTTCTCTTTTACAACTGATTGATTTTTAAACGTATTTTACATTTACCAATGTTTAATAATAAACTATTCAAGAAATTAGTAAAAAAGGCGTCACAATTCTCTATATTCATAGCCCTCTCTACACATTACAATTTGGTCAAATTGAAACTACCAACTTTTATAATAAAAAGAAACAAATTATAACATAGAATATAAGACAAGTGGGTTGTGTCCCACTGTCCACGGTTTTAGTTTTAGCTTGGACGGTACGTGATCAAAGAGCAGGGTGGTCAATGCCATCAGATCTAAGAGCATGTGCCACAAACCGAGGCAACTTGTTACAGAAAAAATAATAATGATAAATGTGGAGTATCAGATGTTAATCACAATTTAAAAAGTTATTACTTACGTTTAAAATGGTAGTGTTCTGCATATTTAGGTGCGGTAATAATTAAATCGTCTAAGGCATAGCCAACATCAGCCATGACCAAAATGGGTGGCGAGCGGGGGTTATCTTTATAATTCCACCGTTTGGGGAACTCCTCTTTCTTATATACCCTGAAATGACCATTAGCGACTGAGCCAGTTTTAAGAGAATTGTAAATTTGTTCCTCGTATCCTAGAACACAAAGTTGCCTTAACTTTCGAAAATAAACTATAGCAAAACATTTAAGTACCTTCATGGGGTATAATTTGAATGCAGGGGCTGGCACCAGCCCAGTCATAAGTACCGTTTGTTATATATTGTGTAATGTTGATAAAGTAAGGGGGAGTTACGGAAATCATGCCGTGATCACTTAAATGGACAACGTTGACTTTATCAGTCAGTTTGTTCTGTTCCAGTAGTTCCTAAAAAGCCAATTGATACTTAGAGGTCTCTTAAAAAAAGTAATTTATTCAAGTATTCAGTCTGTTCCTCATACCTCTAAATATAATGTAATATTGTCCAGTTTAACAAGCAAATCTCTAACTGTTTTGGAATTTGGGCCAAATGCATGCCCATGTGTATCAGGTTCCTCAAAGTATAACATGACCAAATTAGCTGGCTTGACGGGATCAGTTATCCAAGATATGACCTAGAGAATTTTAGTTATTTAAGAACGTATGTATACACATATCACTTGTGGATGTAATATTCTTACTACAAACTTACATCTTCAACTCTTTGACGCCAATCGTAACCTGGTTCAAATGTTTTTACATATGTTATATTTTGTCCTTGATAAGGATAATTCGCACCTGGCCACATCATAGTTCCTGAGTATCTACCATTTCCTTGATCTTCATTCCATCTCTGAAAATCCATAAACACTCATGTCATAAAATAGAAGTTATGTCTACATAAGTTAATATAAAGTATTACGTACCCAAATGGGTTTAATGTCTTCGTTGTAGTGAAACATTTCATAACCAATTTTTAAAACTTTCTTATACTTTGGATCGTAATAGGTATTGCCAATAACCCCGTGAACATCAGGATATAATCCTGTGGCGATAGAATGATGATTTGGAAAAGTTTTAGTAGGGAAAACATTTATTAAGTAGTCGGCATGTGTACCCACGTCTTTTAATCGTTCCATATTAGGTACTAGTTTTGTGTCAAAGAAGTTATATCGGAAGGCATCATAAGAAACAACTATTAAAATGGGGTGCGTAGACAGCGAATATACGTAGCTTATAAGTAAACACTGCACTATAATTTTAAATATCATCTCAGAATGTTTCTGTTGGAAACTGGACAAAGCAGCAGATGTTACTTGATATTAAGAAAACCTCCGCTTTTCAACAACTCTTCCTCACACCTGACAGTGACAGTTGACAATGTTGACAGTTAACATGTAACAATCAGCTGATTTTAGAACCTTAGAATTTGTGAGGCGGTTATTCTAGATACTCAATAAATTTTTGTGGGGAAAAAATGAAAAAGTAGAACAATACGAATTCGTTTTTGGCCAATTTAAATAATAAACAAATTTCAAAGCATAAAAAACAAAAAAAATTTACATAATTGTATATCCAATTTCAGAATTTTAAAATGGATTATCTACTACTTTTATTTAAAAGTGTTTACAACTAATACCAACATAACAGATGTATAGAAAGAAGTAGCTTTGTTGAGTAGATTACATTTTATGTTCGTGTTGGTAATTGGTATATCTGTCATTCTGTCTTTCGATCTTTCTTTGATCAGTTATTCTACACCCTCTTCATAACAATATATTTTAAAATAAATATTTAAATTAAAATTTAAAACAGTTCATACATTTAAATAACAGCAAACTACTTTAATACCCTCGAAAATGATGTTTGAGGAAGATCTGTAATTATCGTTCTCAATTACTGAATTTGTGCGAAGCTAATTAAATAAAGTGTTTAGGTGTTTGCTAATTAAGGACAATCATATATAAAAAGGAAAATCTGATTGACAATAGAACAAACACGGAGTCATTTCATTTATTGAAGCCCCATGGGGGTTGACACCGATGCAGTCCCCGTTGGACTGCTGCAACAATGGGCAATTGTTTTAAAAGTTGTCTACCTGAATCAGATACCTCGAGGGCACTGCGAAGTTTTAATATCCTCAACAATCAAAATGACGAAGTCAGCTTCACCTTTCTTGTGGAAGATGTAAGTATTGTGAAAACATTTTTCCTAACGAGTTTAGATAAATTACACCTAATATACTTAATAGCAAGACCACAAAAAAAAATAAATTATTCAACTCGGAACTAATAATTTAAAATACTTAAGATGTTCGGTTGCTATGAAAGTAATCGAATCAAGGATGGGAATAAAATACTTTGTTTTAAGGTCAGAGAAACATATATATTTGAAAATAGAGTGAATAGCAGTTATGCGAAGTTTCTTGTGATTAATATTAAAATGCCGCATATCACTTAATAAATTCACTTAAAAGTAGATTAATTGAGCTGTATATAGTAACCTATGCCACTATAGTATCATTATATCATATTCAGAACAATAAATTAAAATTGAAACGTTTATTAAACCAATTTTTTTTTTTCAGAACATTTCTACAAGCGACGATAATAAAAGGTAGGATTTGGTTATTAATTAATAAAATGCAAGTTAGACATTTTTATATTTCCATGAGCTACTAATTGCTGTTATATGCATTGTATCAATTTTAAATAAACAAAATGTGTTCCTTTTCATGCTTTCTGGGATACCTGTAGAAGTTTTCTATCACGTTTTTTTAAAAAAAGAAATGACAAGGTAATTATTTACTAAGATATTTACTTCACTATCTCGCTTGCACTGCACCCTTGTTGATAAGTCTTCTGCACTGTGCACCGAAAATTTCATAAAATTGTTATGCTATTTGAGATTTATACAGAAATACATACTTAATTTTTATTCCGATAAACAATTTCTTTTATTATTTTGTGTCACTGTCATGACGATAGTGTAATTCTTTCCACATTTTATCCTTTAGATTTGTTTCTCTTAATAAATTTAATTAACTATTAAATATTACAAAAAATATCTGTTGAATGGATTATTCTAAGAGTAGAAAAATAAATCTCGAGGGTAAAAGTCATGTTTTTGTATTTTCGTAATGTAAATCCAGAAATAATTTCAGAAAAAGCCAGTATTGGAATTGGTTGATGGTTTATTAAATCCTCAGCTTAATTCATATAGCAGATTGTCGGAATCCCAACGTTTGTCATCTACTGGGTAAGAATTTTTTTATCTATACAGACAGAACAAAATTCTTCAGAATTTAACACACTCGCAAACCATAAAATCATAATATAGAAAAATAGAAACAAAAATTACCTTTTTCTTGCTTAGCACCATTAGTTCTCAAAATACGAAGAAATATTTTCGGATAATTTGACTAATAAAATTACACTCAATTATTAAATATTCACGCAAGAAATCTCTCACCTATAGATCTTGTACAAGTCACGACATCCAACTACAATGTTTGGATGCGAGAGCTTTGCTGCAAAGAACAGCAACCTCGACACCAGCAAGCTCCATAGATTTGGAATGGGAGCACGAGACCCTTCCTGTTTCTATTATTAACGATCCGTCGGGAAGTTCATGGTAAGACTATTTTTTTATAGTTAACATTCCACTACATTGTCAAAAACGTTAACAGGACCGCTATTCCCGAGGACATATCTCAGTGTCCTAGCACCACTAGTCCGCAAAACACGGCACCCGCACCTAATAGTGACTCGGATTGGTCGAGAGTTTCATCGGCTAACTCTCTCGAATGGGATAATGTCCAAAACTCCATACGTGCTAGCCCCCCTCTGTCAGAGGTCGATACTGACACTCAGTTTCTTCTTAGTGAGATCGAAAGACTAACAAATAAAACTTTACAGGAAACTGGCCAGGATCTGTTCAGCTGAGGTTGTATAAATATGTGGTTCGATTTTTTTTATGAATTATACTTATGTTTGGATGTCAAAAGAAACAATATAACAAATATTTTAATAATCATGTAACAGGAATATCAAAATCTTTAGTGATATACTGATAGACTAGGATGTAGCTTAGATTTTATTTATTTTCACGGTAAGCAATTTTGTTTAATTTTACTGAGTATAACGTAGTAAATGTGTAAATAGTTAAAACCATTATTAACCAAAGTTGGCGTAAATATACATATGTTATCTAATGCAATGATACGTAAGACTGTATATTAATTGTAATAACCAAAAGATTACAAAATTGATTATTTGTAGCACCTGAAGAATTTGTTCTGTATGAGACAGGAATTGGTAAAATTGAATCACAATTATTATTTTCTTATTTGTAAAAACATGCTTTTAATTATTTTATAAACATCAAATCTTTTTATACAAAACAAATTCTCTGAAGTATATCTGTTTGCGAAATAATAGGCCTATACTGTGTTGACGGTTGTTACAAAAGTGTTCCAGCTGAGAATGGTTGTGGTTTTGTAAATAGTTTGACGACGTTTTGAAAACACGTGATGACAAAAGAAAATAATGTGAAGAAGGATAATAACACCAGATTGAAATTATGTACTTGATTTTATGTTTCAAATATTGCTAATAATCAATCAAAAGTATGCTTTCGCAAGAAAACTATTTAAATTAAGAGTTATATAAAGGTAGCAAAGTATATTTATTATTTAAGTATCGTTATATTTGCGAGTTTCTTATTTTATGCATTTATCAGTCGCTAGCAGTGACTTATAAACTTTTAAAGCACCGGATTTGCTAAAAAAAAGATGAGTTAGAATATAAATGTTTTTTTTTTTTTCATTATTTTTAACATCTCTGAGAATATTAAGTATTAACACATGTGCCATGTCATTCATGTACTGCATTTTTTAAGTTGAATATTTTCTTTTAACCCGACAAAGAAGGTGACAAAATAAGCACATTTTACAATCATATTCTTTTGAAATCTCAAAAATAACTCTTTTTATTAAAAACAAAGTTAGACATAATGGACCAATATCGTGGACTCCAAGTTCGCCAGATTATAGTCTGATTTTTACGTACAGGGTTACATGAAAAAGTTTGATTTACGAGACTAAAATGAATACAGTTGAGGAATTATGTGAAAACATAGAAAATGCTGTGGAAATAATTTGGGAACAATATCATAGACCAGGGCGGATCTGTCGAAATATCCCACTTCCAAACAGTCCAAATTATTTTAATTTCGGTACAAATAGAACGACAAGAACCAGTCATAAAAATAAACCCATATACTGAAATTCTAAACTCGGTTCTCAATCTTCTGTACAACCTTTATTTTCCCCTAAAATCCGTCTCTGGATCCGCCCCTGTGTAAATGAGAAATTTCTTTATCTTTGAGATTTTGAAAATATTTAACTTAAAAAATTTGCTTACTTTATACATTGTTCGTGTTGTTTTGACACGACTGGTCATTTTGTTCATTTTTGGCATGCAATGTGTTAAGAATTTTTCTGAATTTAGTATCAACAATTTCAAGATGTAATATCTTATATTTTAATCATAATATACTTGCAGAAAGCTTATAAATTTCTCTGTCCTCTTTATTTTAAATCTCAGAAGTGATGGATCTTTATCGAATCCAAAGTTAATTTCGAATATGCTGGAATTCAGCTTAACTTACACTTTCTTGAATCTATAAAGAAGGGAAAATAGTTATTCCGAGGTAGAGCAAATCTGGCGGGACCAAGATATTGCATCTGTAGTGGGGCCTTTAATGTATGTGCTATTAGTAAAATAGAAAAAAAGCGATACTTAATTTTTTTTGTCTTTGTATTTGTTACTCAGGTTGTGGGTTATGGTTAAAGGTGGTGATGGAAACTATCGAATAATTAGTAATTGCGCTCATCGACAAACCCGTTTGTTAACTAATTTTTATTCGATAGTGCCCAACGCTAGTTAAGGGCAATATTCTAGTCAAAATAGATCTGGGAGAGGTAACAAAACTTTATTCCGTTTAATTTTTTATATTGCAAGAATGTATAAATATGTTACAAGTTTATAAAGTTAAAAGAATTTTATATCCACGCTGTTTCATTATGAAATTTGTTGGCTTTTTGACAGCTTTTATATTTGTTGTATATTCACATACATTTCATGCAAACATATCACTTAAACAATAAAAATGATTACAAATTTTTTTTGTTTCATTTTATCACAATACATCGTCTATGTTAAAATTTGTATAGCACCAGAATTCGTTAGCTAAGTTATTTGCGTGTTTTGGCTCGAATGAGCTCTTTTTTAAATCCAATAACCTCCGTACTAAATCTGCCATTATAGCACCTAAAAAGCAAAAAATAATTTAATTTTTTGCATAATATATAGATGTCGAATTTCATAAAAAAATATACTTGCCTGTGCATAATAAAATTTTCCTTTTTGTTAAAAATTTGATAGTTACAGCAGTCTTTGTTAAACATTCTTCTGATAGAAATGGAGGATCTGCTAATACGATATCGTAATAACTAGACTTATCTCTAGGTATTGCCAATGGAAACTTGTAATCATACATTATAAAATCTTTACCGTACATGGCAAATCTTTTATCATACTCAAACAGTGTTACTAAAAAATATGTATTAATTCACTTTCATTTCCAGATAATTTTCTTGAACCTACTATCACAGTTAGGGTCAGCTTTTTCTTTTAGTTTTCTATATAAACTTGGACAAGATACTAGAGCAATATTTCCGTTTGAACCTGCAGCTTTTATAGCAACATCGACTAACGCTTCAATAGTTCTGTCATCATACCAAAATTGACTTAGTTGCTAAAAAATTGAGAATTATTACCATATAAATTTAATGTCTCCAATCCTACCCAATTTTCATGAATTGTTACGTCGCCATTTATCGTCTCTGAGGCTAGTAATTCTAAACGTTTTTCACGATCCTCTTGCTCTTTATAAAATTCTTGTAAACCTGCAAATGTTTCTGAAGATAACTGAGGTAAGTCTTCGTCTTCAGATATAGACATATTTTAAATCTATTAATGTTTGACCTCCTTAATTAGGTAAGTAGACAAATTAGACTGGTAAATATTGATTTTTGATTACTAAAGGCCAAGAACTGTTAAGTATTTTGTAAAATAAATTAATTATACTTTTAATAATGCAACTCGAAACTTCGTCATCAAACACAAATAAATACCACCATTTTTAGGTTATATACAATTTCCCCTTTCCAAAATTGTTTTTATTTTTTTAACAAAGAAATGCTACTTCTTCTTCTTCTTCTCTTTGGCATTCACCCTAAAGAAATGGTAAAGTCCCAGATTAATTCAAATTAATCTGGGACTCGACCGTCTTTTCACATAGCGTCTTTTTTACGGACCGTGGGCTTGACCCGCTTGAGTGAAGAGTCGTAAAATGTTGATTTACATTAGTTCCTGCTCCGTGAGTTTTCCGTCTTTGTCTATGGTGAGTATGTTAACGCCGACCGGCCTAAATGCACATAGAGAAAGGAAAAATACTGTTATCTATGTTTATTACACCGTTTTACATATACCCAAAAACAAACTTTACTATTATTTATACTTGAGACTAAAAATAAATATGATGATAAATCTAAAATTAAAAGTTGACGTGAAACTTAACTTGTAAATTATTAATTCTTAGTAATATTTATTAATAAGGTACAACTGGTACAACTTATTAGTCTTTGTATATAAATAATTTTCCCAAATCAAAATTTTATAAGGCACGCTTTTTATACTACTAAGTAGAAGTGGAAAAAAATTTCATAAAAAGTACAAAGACCTGAAGTACCTACTTTTTTTTATCAATAAAAGAAAAAGGATCACAAGCAACCAAAAATAAAAAAAATTGGAAACGATAGGATTAGGAAATAATATTGTACCCATAAAATACTAAAATACTTTACTCAGCGATGAACTAAAACCATAGAAATATTAAATTTCAATCTCCAAGCTCTGAGTAGTGGCGTATACAAAGAGAGGACCACGGGGTTCAAATCTTACTTTTTCAGCTAATCCAATAACGCAAATGGCCAGAAATAATTTAAATTAAATAATCGTTTTACTTACTTTTTCTTATAAATACAATAAATATAGTTAGATAGTTACTATTACGCTTTTCAAAAATATTTTGAGAAAAAGTAATAAGAAAAATACTGTGCTACACCACTGATTTTTGTGTGGTAAGTTTCGGTTGGGCGTTTGTAGATGAGCGGCGCGTCGTCGCGTTGACCAATCCAGGAGGCGAAATTTTTCTGTGATCTGTGGAGGCGAAAGAACGTCCTCGTCCATCAAATTGCCACTTACATCAAATCGACTTGACTGAAGAAGAGTCGGAATTGTATTGTGCGTTTATGGTGTGATTTATTTTACATTTTCAAAATTATAAGCACGAAATCGTGACCATGATTCCTCTGCGCTATACCCGAAATTTGTTTCTACGGGCATTTTGTATTGTTTACTTGTCTGCATTTTTATCATTTTACATTCAAATTCCAGGTAAGTATGGGAAGAAGTAGCTTTGACGATGTAGATGGATAAATTGGAGCTCACCTTCAATGCTCGTTATGTCATGTCTTATTTAACATCAAATTAGAATACTACTAAAGATAAAAAACTATTTTTTATTTCTATCCGAGACCAATATAACTTTTTCTAACTTGCAGGTTTATATGGTGATAATGGTGTGCTACCAGCGAAAGCAGTTTTAGAAAATAGTAAACATAAGACACTTTCTGCGAAAGTGCATTACCAACCAACATTGCTTTGGTTAGCACCATATCTGGGCTTGGATACGAATTATGCTCTTGATGTGTTAGCTCTGCTGGGGGCATTCTTAGCTTTTACTGGGTAAGTGTAATTTAATACTGTTTTGTAAATGTTTATTCAAACGACTTTCATTTTATGAGTAACATGTTCACAAATTTAAAAAGTGAAATTTCAGTGTAACCCTTGTAGTCAATATTGATAATAGATTTTCTTCTGCATTTTAGTACGACATTTTGTCCAAAACTCCAATTGTTACTACTAATACTTGATAATTATCTTGAAATTTTAAAGGAAAGTTTTATTATTGTCATCATCTCTAATTTTATGCACAGTTAATAAACAAAATGATGTAAATGTATAATTGACACAGATTAAAACTGAGATAGACTAAAAAATATGATGCATGTTTATTGAAAACATTTTTAAATTTACATCCAGCAATTTGTTATTTAACTCTTAAGTGCATTTAGAATAGTAGTGAATACCTACCTAATCTTTGTATTCCTTTTAGGCTGGTATCACAAAAGTTTTGCACTATTCCTCTTTTTGCTGGTCTTTGGTCGTTATATTTCTCTCTATTTCAAATAGGCCAGACCTTTGTTACATCAAGCTAGTAAGTATATATTTTTTATTAAATATTACTCATTTCTTATTACCATTAAAAACTCAAATATGTTTTTCTTTTTTTATAGAATTTCTTGTTATTTTTTTGTATTCAGCCTTGTGTTTTTTGTATAATCATTTGAGTTAATTTATGGAAATTACTTGCAGCGATGAATTCCTTTTGGAAGCTGGCTTTCTGGCAATTTTGGTTGCTCCACTTTTACCGGGCAGAAAAAAGGGTTCCAAAGGCGCATCTAGTGATTTTGTTAGTTTTTGGCTAGTGAAATGGTTCCTCTTTAGGTTTTTGCTTACAGTCGGTTTAACGAAATTCATCAGTGGATGCCCAAAGTGGTGGAGTCTTACGGGTAAGTTACTGTAGTCTGAAAAGGATTAATTTAGGGTTACAATATATGGAATTTATTTTCAGCTTTATATTATCACTTTCAAACTATGCCTTTACCAAGTCCATTATCATGGTATTCCCACCATTTACCTGATTGGTATCTGAGGTTGATCCAGATATTTGCTAACGTTTCCGAGATTGTCCTACCGTTTTTCTTCCTCGTTCCGATCAGAAGTGTACGATTGACGAGTTTTGTTTTCCAGGTAACAATTTTTTCTATTAGGAAAAAAATTGTTTACTAAATATGTTTTTTAATTTGGTTTTAGATCGTCCTACAAATATGTATTGTTCTCACCGGAAACTTTGATTTTTCGAATATGTTAATTGTAACGCTGCTTTTGTCTCTGTTAGACGACCAATTTTTCTACGGAAGGAAAAAAGCACTTAGCAGATGGACGATTGTGGGCAAAATTGTAAATGTCGTAATATTCGGGGGAATATTGTATGGTGTGGTTAATTTATATTCACTGAAATTTGGTGGAACGCATATTGAATCCAATATTGGTGAGTGGTCTTTTCAAATTACTGTTCAAAATATGCTAATTTCGAATAACTTTTCTAGCTTTCACGAAAATTCAATTCGACAACGTTTTAAGCCAGGGCTTAACATACACCATCCATTTTGGCCTGTTGTCACTAGCTGGAACAGTTTTATATACTTTGTCCCACGTCTTGTTCGATAATCAAGGATCTGGAAGTAAAACCGTAGGAATTATTTCAACTGTCTTCTACGGGATTGTTGCCGTTCTTTTGTTCTTTGCTAATGCGGTGAGTTTGTTCGGAAAAAAAAAATGTGTCCCTGAATTTTTGTTTTAAATTATTTACAGGTTCCTTTGGCATCTTTACATCCAACGTCCAATTCAACAGTAGCCCCATCGGTTCGTACCGTTTACAACAGACTACATAAGCTGCACGCCGTTAACCAATACGGACTGTTTCCCAGAATGACAGGAGTGGACGGTCGACCCGAAATAATTCTCGAAGGATCCGATAGCATAGAAGGACCTTGGAGGGAATACAATTTCTTGTATAAACCAGGAAACGTAAATCACTCCCTGCCGTTTGTCGGTAAGTTTTGATGTGTGACGGGAATATTTAAACGTTAATCTCGGTAAACGTACTCGGATTAATCCGTGATATGTTAACAGCACCTTACGCTCCAAAGTTGGACTGGCAAATGTACTGGGCGGCGTACAGCACTTACGAAAAACAACCGTGGCTGTTGTCCCTAACTCACAGGCTCTTGGTGGGAAAACCGGAGGTGCTCGCGCTTTTGGATAAACTGCACTCGCCCTACACGCAAAAACCACCGAGGTACATCAGGGGAATCCTTTACAGATACAAGTACACCCCGTGGAGCCAAAAGTAAGTGCACCGAAATCTCCCTTAACGGACAGTTTTCTTTGATTCCAGCAGTATATTTTTTTAAGCGCATATGAACATTAATTTTCAAAAATTTTTATACTTTTTCCTGAACATGCACAAAAATTCGTTGTCAGTCGGCATATTTCAACTGTTCGCCATTTGCACTCTCGCGTACAGTGTATTTCCTTGTCATGAGGATACGACGCAAAACAGCTGGATCGTTCGTCGGTTGTGTCACCTATGGAACACTGATGAGGACTAATAAGTCCGAAACCGGTCTGTGCCTGGTGGGTTAAACTGACGAACGACCCTAGCTGTTGCACTAGTTGTTGCGAGAATAATTCAATGCCGGTAGGGGCATATAGCCCTCGGATTAGTTGTTTCTCGCAACACTGACAATTAAAACTCTTTATTTACTTACGTTTTTAATTTTTCGACGTGTTTCGAGGATCATTTTCAGAATACTCGCATGCTCAATTTGAAAGTTTCAAAGTGTGACATTTCAATTTTGTTTCCTGCAGAAACGAGTTTGAAAACAAGAGTATCCTCCTTAAAATAAGGATTGACTTACAGTCCGTGCGGTTAGTTACGAGAAAGTGACGTAGGGGACTTCTTGGAGTTCTGCCTCAACAAATATCGCACGGATTGTACTTTATCAACTTTTTAATATATTTCCTATGGTACGGGCTTTGGTTTTTTTTGTAAATTTGTAATTACACGACCAGTCAGAATTAGTAAAGAAAATCGTAAAAAATTGCAGATCCCAGTCAACCTGGTGGGTGCGTGAAAGGGTATCAGAATATTTCCCCGCATTCTCCAGGGATTCACCGGCTCTGATCGAATTCTTGAAGGCACGGAATTTGCTACCGACACTGTCCAAACAAACTGTCAATCCCATCTGGAAACAGGCACTCGACAGCATCAGATACGTAACAAACCACCTGGAAGCGACTTTGTTGTTCTGGTCCGTCTTGACGGCAGGTCTCGCCCTAATCTGTACATCGGGCTCGGGAAAAAAATAAGCCAAATAGATTTTTCACCGTTTTCTAAATACTTTTACAACCGTTTATTGATTTTATAGTTTTTAAAGTTTTTCCTTGGTTTCGGTCGTCAATTTACCTTATTTATTGTTCTTTTTTTTATTGAAAAATATTTAATACATACATAAGAACTACAAACGTTAATTTTCCCTTTGTACTTTGTTTTTGCTTAACGGGGCATTAGTTATTTTGATTTTTTTTATTGTTATACCATGTCGAAGAATACAGGGTTGCCAAAGAACCACGATATATATTTTTCACCAAACTCTGAAGACATCACAGGTTTACCTTCTCGAATGGTTCGTTATTATTAACCTTTCATATTATCATATTGTATCAAGCAGGAGTCAATATAGGAAAGTGTGGGTCCTATTTTATTAATACTTACATGGAGGTAAGCGGCCAGCAAATACTTGGTAAGTTTCGTTTTTACGAGTTTGGTTCTCCGTCGTTACAAACTAAATTAAACTCGATGAAAATGATTCGAGTTAGTTTCGGAAATTTTAGTGCAATAGAAAAAATATTCACAAAACTTCTGCCATGAAAAATTAATTAATTTAATTTAAAAAATCTACTTTTTAACGCATTAATAAAATAGGCTTTCCCTAGAAAATATCATGAATATTATCATTAAACAAGTAATGGTATTTAAGTAAAAATTTCTTTATAATAATAGTAACAGTAGTTTTTAAATCATGAAAATTTGTGTTATATACAGCGCACTCCTCTTTAAGTAGCACCATTTTCATATTTTAGAATACAACTGTCGATTTTCAAAAACTTTTCATCTCTGAAGGTCATGAAGTTGGAGTAGAAACAGAAAATTTTGAAAATCGACCCTTCTTTCTTTTTTTTGGTGCGTGTAAAGTGGAACACACTGTATATCTTTTTTTTGAATTATAAGTATACCGATTAGAAGTGAAGTCGTATTTTCTATAAGATTTATTGAACGTTTTGTGGGGTTTGTAAGAGATCTGTATATTTTTTATTTTTGTACTGCACTGAGTGACACTATTTTTACGCTTACCCTTAATTCATCACTTCATCTTTCGTCTCTAAACAGATAAGGCGTTTTGATAAGGACGGTATTAATTTCATGGTAAATTAATCGGAAAATGGTAATTCGCGTCACTGACTACCCAGAAGTTCGTTTCTTATTTTATTTAGCAGTGTAGAAAATCCTGAAAATTTGAATTTAATGTCTTCTAATTTTTAAAAATATATTTGCGATAGTTGCAATTAAATTTTTATAAATGCAACGGTTAAAAGACGGCACATTTTTCTTTGTTCTCTGAGAGAACGTCGTAAAAGTGTATCTACCTCTTCAAAATTTTGAAATAGAACATGAATTTTAAAACATAAATTTTGGTATTAGAGAACAGCAAATGTTTTTGTCGAAATGATAGCCTTGTCTGTATAAATTACTAAGCTTTACTTACAGCGTGACTGATTCTTACTTTTTATTAATGGTAGTGGTTAATGTTTTTGTTACGATGTTTGATAAAAAAAAAAAATATTTTATATGTTAGTTTTGTCTATATCTGTATTTATATATAGGAATCACTAGAAAATTGATGTGTTCTAAAGATTTTTTATCTCTTGTCATGGTCATGGTTTTTAAAACAATAAGATAACAATAAATAAGACAAATAAGTGATTGTTTTTTTTTATTTATTTCCTTTTTATCGTCGATGTAATGTATTTTTTGTTTTCTTTCCAATATTTATTACTTTGATGGTTGAACTTGTAATTTTGTTAATATTTTTTAATGATGGCAGCCAGTTATCAAAAATTATGAATCAGCGACCATAAACTGATCAGTCGTCAAATATTTCCATAAATATTTAACATTATCAATTTTTTCAATATAATCATATTAAAATCATTTTAAAGTTACTGATTTTTAATATTTCAAGTCATTTATCCATCACTACGATTATTTAGTTACAACTTTTTAATAAATTTTCAAGGTCACATTTTCCTAAATTAAAAATAAAAACACCTTGTACATCAAATCCTAAATTTATTTATGATAAATGCAATGAACTTGACAGGAAAAATAACTAAAAAATTAAAACGTTCTCTCCGTGAACACACTGTATATTTTACTCGCGGTAATGAATATTTCCTTAAATATTTTAGAAATATTTTCACATCTATTTTTAGAAAACGGTTATTACAATTATTCATGATAGCTGACCACATTTTTATACAGTGTGTTACAAAACAATAAATCGGACAAATCCTAATTAAACCTCCAATCACACTATTATTATGCCGCCAAAAATCGTTTAAAACGCAAACACGTTCGTGAAAAACGCCTAGTATGTCCCTAGCCTAAACGAACTAGTACATGATTCTCACACCGATGTTAGCGGCGCCACTATTTTTTTCCTAGGAAATGTCAAATGCACGAACGAAATGATCTGTCATTTCCCCAGTTATTAGGTGTGTAATTATTTTGTTATAATCACTATAAATAAGTACATTTATTGATATTTTCAAAAATGTATTTTTGACGTCCAACGCTCTAGTCCATTTAAATTGCGTTAGGGCCTACATTCGTACAATAACTACGTTATCAAGTACGGGTTTCTGTTGAACTGAGTTACTTATCACCAGGACATTTTTATATGAGTGAATCACTGTTTTTAAGAATCAATTAAATAACATGGCAGCAGGAACCACATTACAGAAGGCAATTGAATTAGTTACCAAAGCCACCGAGGAAGACAGGAATAAGAATTATGAAGAGGCCTTGCGTTTGTACGAACACGGTGTAGAGTACTTCCTTCATGCCATTAAATGTAATATACCGTAAACATTTACTGTTCTCGTCCAGAGTTTACTTTACTTTTTTTAGATGAAGCCCAAGGAGAAAAAGCGAAAGAAAGCATCCGAGCCAAATGTGTACAGTACCTTGAAAGAGCCGAAAAAATTAAGGAATCTATCAAGAAGGGAAAGAAAAAGCCTGTATTAGACGGAGGTTCATCCAAGTTAGTGATACACGTTACTTTACTTTTAAAATATAATCGTTATTCGGAATTAATTCTTTAGGGATGACAAAAAGAGTGATAGTGATGAAGACGAGGATGATCCAGATAAGAAAAAGTTACAAAGTAAATTGGAAGGTGCGATTGTTGTAGAAAAACCTCATGTCAAATGGAGTGACGTTGCTGGACTAGATGCCGCTAAGGAGGCACTCAAAGAAGCTGTGATTTTGCCCATAAGATTCCCTCATTTATTTAGTGGGAAGAGGGTTCCTTGGAAAGGGATTCTTTTATTTGGGGTAAGTAAATTAATAACCTTGAACTGTTTTATCTACCATACTGAAATTTTAAGAAAATACTACTTTTAAAAATATCTAAAATATAAAAATATTTCATAGATTCAAAAAACATTATCTTACAATTAGATTACTCATAAAATTTTGCAGGAGTCGAGTTTATTATTTAACGACTTGTTAATCACAGGTGTTAACACCTTATATGTTTTTATATCAATGTTTCGTATTTCATTTGTGAAAGATAAGGAAATATATAGTGATGTGGATAACAAACTATTTTATTTGGTATTAACATTACTTATTTTCAAAAATAAGTTTAATGTAAACCAAAAATATTTTGTATAATTTTCAAAAAATCGAAGATAGGTTCCTGCACATCGTTGAATATGCCTTTTGATTTTGGAAATCGAAGACAATTATAGTGAACATATGAGCTCATACTCTGTATGTGTTTATAGCCTCCTGGTACCGGTAAATCGTATTTGGCGAAAGCCGTGGCAACAGAGGCTAACAACTCGACGTTCTTCTCCGTTTCTTCTTCCGATTTGGTTTCAAAATGGTTGGGGGAGTCTGAAAAACTAGTGAGGAATCTGTTTGAACTCGCTCGAACACATAAACCTAGTATTATATTCATAGACGAAATCGATTCTCTTTGCTCTTCCCGTTCAGATAATGAGTCAGAATCTGCCAGAAGGATCAAAACGGAATTCTTGGTACAGATGCAAGGTATGTAAATGTCAGTGTTACGTACAAAAAACCCTAGTATAGAAATTTCGATTGTAAGAGTGAATGAAAAATACAATTTTTGTGAGAATTTTGAACTGAGACAAAATTACTAGTTGATCTGTTATCACGTGCCAGTAATTTACTGTTATTGATTAATTTATTACTGATAACAGATAAAATATTGCTCATATTACTTAGACGCCTGTGGATATGGAAGTTTCTTTTTAGTCCAGATGGTATCTGTTTCAAAAAGTCCATATTTGGGTGAATCGTATATCCACGGAGATTTTTGGCTTTTTGGCTTTCAAATATCACTTGAAGTGAAAATTTTTCTATGCGCATAAAAAATAAAAGTGGGCTTAACTTTTGGCGGCACAATATGTTAAAAAAATTCGAAAAATGTCATATTTTCCTTCTTATTTAATTATGTATCTTTTCAAGAGTTGATTTTAGGCGAAAATGGAAAAGGAAAAAATGTTTGTAGTTAATTTTTTTTTGTATATTTTCTGTATACGAAAATCGGTTCTTAATGTATATTTTGGCGCCTGTAGGAGTGGGTCATGACACCGAAGGTATCCTAGTCTTGGGTGCCACGAACATCCCCTGGGTATTGGACGCCGCCATCCGCAGAAGATTCGAGAAACGCATCTACATCCCCCTTCCAGAGGAGCCCGCCAGGGCCGTCATGTTCAAGCTGCATTTAGGCAATACCCGTACCGAACTCACCGAGGACGACATCAAAGAACTGGGCAAGAGAACCGAAGGGTGAGAATAATTTTTGACGTTGCTGCTTTAAATTGTAACACGATTTCTCCCTGTAGATATTCCGGTGCTGATATAAGCATCGTCGTCAGGGACGCCTTAATGCAACCGGTCCGTAAAGTGCAAACTGCCACGCATTTCAAGAAGATCCGAGGGCCGAGTCCCAAGGACCCCAACGTCATTGTCGACGATCTCCTCACCCCGTGTTCTCCGGGTGATGCGGGAGCTATAGAAATGTCTTGGATGGAAGTGGAGGGCGAGAAGTTGGCCGAACCACCAGTGACTTTGGTAACGTAGATTTTACTATTATTACTTTAAATTTGGTCCGATTATTTTCACATTTTTATTGAGGGATACTTTTTTATCAACCTCTGAAAAAAAAAATACACTGAACGTGTTTAAGCTGTTTTTCAACATAATCTCCGTCTTGACCAAGACATTTTTTACAATGGGTTATTAGTTTTTTATTGTCCCCGTGAAAAACGTTTTTCTCCTTGTGATAAGTTCGTGGCCCCAGACTGCAGCTCCTCATCTACATCGAAACCACTAATTATCAGAGAATTTCATAGATTTGGAAATATCGGGAGATTTTGCGAATTTTACTGGATTTTTTTTTAAGTTGTGATTGGCCCTTATTTACCAAGTGCTACACAGGACGTCGTTAAATTTTTCTTTAACATAAGAGTGTCCTGAATTGCACAAACCGAATTATCTGTGTTGATAGAACTTCTCAAAATAAAAAAAAAGTTTCCCTAAAAACATTTTGTAATTCCTAAAACTGATTTTTATACTTAGATCAGGGCGGATCTGTTTTGAGGTGGAGGTGAGTGGGGGCAAGCAAATTTTTTCTGGATTACAATCAGTACAACTCACATAAAAGTGTAGATCTCTAGATCTGGGCGAGTTCTGGAACATTTTCAAAATTGCAAAAATGTTTTAAAAAATTTAAAAAATAATTTGGAAGAATACGGAAGAAAAAAGTTTTAGAATTGAATTTTGCACAATATACTGTATTAAAAATGTTTAAATTTATAGCCGTTGTTGCAAATTGATGAAAAAAAGCAAAAAAATCTGAAGTTTTTAGGATAATTTTTTTTAAATGTTTTAATTGCTCCGATGGCATTCTAATTTTGGTAAAAAAAACTTTATAGGATAATAAAACAACACACCAAATTTCATTAAAATCGGTTCAATAGTTTTCGCAAAGTAATTGTTTGAAAAAAATTTTTGATTTTCAAAATTTTGCATTTTTTTGAAAAATGCTTTCGATTGATTAGGACAGCTACAGTTTATTTGTAAAGTTAACACTCTTTTTTTTTAAACAATTAGATTAAATTATAATTTTAAAGTACTCGGAAAGACACTTCTTTTAAAAAAAAAGTTAAATTCCGTTTATTGGTTTTTGAGATATAGATCAAAGTTTATCGGCATTTACCATTAATTTATAAACAATTTAGCAATAATCTTTGATCCAGTGGCTTCGTTTTTTCAAGTTTAAGCTAGAAAAAATTTTCATAACCATAAGTTATCGGCAACAGATCAATCAGCGAAAAGCTGCGTGACTGAAATTATCCAAAAAATTTGATTTTTTTGCCTTTTTTTGCAACATCGGTAATAAATTTAAACATTTTTAACTTGCAGTATATTGTGCAAAATTCAATTCTAAAACTTTTTTCCTTTTCAATATTCTTCCAAAATGCATAGGTTCCAAGATATAAGTAAAAAACTCAGATAAAATAGCTATTTTTTAAACATTTTTAAACATTTTTGTAATTCCTGTATCCTGTATCTCGAAAACTAAACAATTATCAACCCATATGTTAGAATGTAGCCTAAAATTGAATGTTTTTCGAAAAATATATCTTCATTTTTGGCGTTTAGACAAGCACAAATTATTAGAATTTTTTTAAATCAAATAAAAATGTTTCTCATTTGAGGAAAACCATAATGCAAATTTGATGACGGTCACTTTATAATTTTTTAAATAATCATACCTCATTAAATATTAACAGGGAGATACAAATAAAAAAATTGTAATGATGGTGATTTTTACCCTGAAAATGTTTAAAATCTTGGATCACCTGGAAATTTTAGGTAAAAATTTGTAATATTGTCTTCTTAACGCTACTTTCATCCGAAGGAACAGGTGGCAGTAAGTCACTGGACGTTAAGTTCGGAATGTATGAATGGTGGTTGAATACGTCCCCATTTTAACATTTTGAGCAATTTTCGTGGCCTTGCGTTAGGCGTTCCTCTCCGTTTGTTTTTGAATTGTTCTTCACAGCTTGTGCAGTGTCTCACAGTACGTGGTCGAGTTGATCGTTGTTCCCGACTCCATAAAGTCAACCAACAAAATGCCCTTCTGATCTCGAAAGATAGCAGCCATCAGTTTTTTTGTTTAAGGATTGTTTGAACTTTTTATTTAATATTTTTGAAGAATCATTTTGATTGTGTTTTTCCTTCTGGATTTTTGAACTTCTCATCTTCCGTTACAATTTTTTTCAAAAATTCAGCCCCTCTGTCATGGCATCGACGAAGAAACAAACCGGAGTCCGTTCGCTGAGCCTTGTGATTTTCGGTTAGCATCTTTGAAATAAAAGGTGCACAAACTTTTCTGTAGCCAACGTTTTCTATAATGATTTTGTAGAAAGACCTCAGAATTTGAGGAAAATCATGGTTCTCCCCAAATAATGTTTTCAGTTACTATTAAATTCTTCTCTTGAGTGTCGGTATGCCCTTCGGAATTTCCTGCACTATTAACGCACTATGCCGTAGTTCATGAACATGACTCGGTCTTCAATGAATTTCAGCCGCATCATGTTCTTTGGCATGTAAAAATCGAACGATGCCATGCACTTCGCACTTGTCACACTTGTTGCTTGGCTAACACCGATATGAGGACATTATCATCACGGGCTTATTTTTGTGCTATAACAAGGAATTATTTGCGAGTTTATCAGAGGTTGACAAAAAAATATCCCTCGTATTTGCATTAAAATTCCTAGAAAGAAACTTGAGCAAATGTTGTAATTTTTGTTCTTAGAACGATATGTTGAGGTCCCTAGCCACATCCAAACCGACGGTAAACGACGAAGATTTGACCAAATTAGAGAAATTCAAGGAGGACTTTGGTCAAGAAGGTTAGATCGTAAAACGTCGATTTCTGTAATATAATTGTTCTTCACTGCAAAGGTAAACTTAAAAATTTCACAAGCGGATCGCTATTGTAAAAATTCTTGCAACAATGTTTAGAGAAAAATTCATATTGTTTAATTAGACGAGTAAGTGTCGCTTTATTTTTTTAATAATAAATATGAATTGTCCTTGTTACTTTTAATTTATACGATAAAGATACAAGCCTTATTATTTTTACTCTAGATTTAATAGTTTATATTTGTATTCATATAAATTTTAAATAAACTATATAAACAATATTTTTTCCGTTTTAATTGCACGAAACGAAAAACGTATAATACAAATCTATCATTTTATACACATCCTTCCTTCATCCCAACGTCATATTGTGATCTGTTCGCGTCTTCTATGTGAAATTTCCACTTTAAAAAGTCTACGCCGAAAATTGACTTTTCGGTGCGAGAGAGACCCGAAGTATATCCGAATTTAGACGGAGATGGAGACAAACGTCAGTGAAGACGTCAAAATAAATTTTGTCATTTGACTCATTTTCCCGGCTGATTGGGCCATGATGTGTCGTTATTTTGCCGTTAGGCGCTACTTTAACGATAAAACTTGATTTGAACTACTTGAATGAACTACTTTACCCCACCTGAATATGGCATCCAAAGTTCGCAAAAAACAGTTTTTTTCATTTATAAAAAAAATAAACGTTTTAGAAAAAATGATTCAAACAAAAAAGTTGTAGGAATTTTGAAGCTTTATAAATGTACATGAAAAGTAAAAATACACGTAGTTCGTTACATAGGATTGACAATATCGACATACACAGTAGTAGTATTACAGTCTTCTCCCCCCCCCCAACGCGTGCATCAACGAGCCGAGCAATATACGGAGCCCATAAAGTGAAGTTTAATGAAAGAAAATGGGACCAATCGTTGCGGACAATTTTTTATATTGATTAATGAGGTTGTGGCGATTTTTCGAAAAAAAAAAATTTTTCTCGGCACCTGTTGGTTCTAGGAGACTTTTTTTAAATTCGGTAAAAAATGCCAACTTTCGAATGGCAGTATCATTTTGATACGAATTGAAATCAAAAAGTTAATCAGTTTTATGGCCCCGAAAAAAAAAAACGGAATTTCGATCATTATTTTGCGATATTTGAAATCGATTTGAGGCTTGTGCAATATTTGCACATAACAGTGTAATTCTTAAAGATGTGGCGGCCTATGAGTTATGGAGATTTTACAAAAACTTTTTTTTTCGAAAAACTCGATTTTTGCAAAAACTAAAATATTTTTCAATTTTGAGAAAATCATTTTATTTTTCTCACCAAGAGCTATCCTTTCACCAACATTCATAAAAAAATATTTATTTTTGAAATAGATACAGCTATTTGAAAAAATTGCGAATTTTAGCGGTTTTTTTTGCAATAACTAATTTATTTATTTATCGATCAAAACCGGTTTGGGCTTATTCGATTTGTATTAAAAATTCCTACAACTTTTGTTTGAAACATTTTTTTCTAATGCAAATGTTTTTTTATAAAAAAAAAACCGTTTCTTGCAAACTTTGGAGGCTATTTTGAAAATGAAGCCCAAAAATTCAGGTGGGGTAAAGTAGTTCATTGAATTCTACGGAATTTTTTCCAATTTTTACATATTTTCAATTACCGAAGTATTTTTTGGCAAAAAAAATGAGGTATTTTCGACAATTTGATTGGATTATAGTCCATGCAGGCCACCCAGCGTTAGATCGCCGTAGCTCATTTTGTAAACTCACGACTGCGAAGCCAAAAGTCCGGGGTTTTTCTTCTTGAAAAATATTATATAATGCACCAGGCCATGCGTCGAAGACCCGAGAGAAAGGTCAAGTCTGCGTTAGCGGACTTGCCTACCTTTCAAGTTTAATTCTTAAAAGTCCACAAAGCACTGGAAAAGGTCGAAACGTTAAGAAATCTGATTCCACATTAATAAAAAATAACTAGCTATAAACATTGGAATTTTTCAGCATTTTAAATTACTTTAAGCACAAAGTCAGTGGTGAAAATTAATCTATGTACTTTTCATTCCGATCACGATGATACAACCGAAAATTTGTGTGGGAGAAGGGGCGGTTAAATTAGAATCGCATTATTATTGATAAATTAAAAGTCTGTACCGGTGTGTCCACTGATAAGTTTAGGAAAAAGAATAACCTACTGTGGACAATGGATTGACGGAGATTGCAGCCTGGAAAAATCTAAAAACTTGTTTTAAATAATAGGAACTTATTTTATTTCTAAAGCCATAAATAGCAAATCACATATTCAAATGTTAAAGACATAGAAACAATAGTGGGAACTACGACATTGATAATTGCTTATTGTCGCTCTATGCCGAATCAATTTAAGTAGTTTTAAATCTACGCCGAACAGACTAGAATATCAGTTTGTTAATTACGTCAACCCAACACATTTAAATGTCGTAGTTCCCACTTATATTAACTCATAAAAATTGACTACTAACATCACAGTAACATCATCGACAGTATGCATTTAAAAAAAATTCATACAATATTTGGCTATTTATAACAGTGTTTGAAAACGTTCAGCATAAAGTCAACAAGCTGTAATTGTGCAGTCACTGGAAGAACAAATAAATATGTATATAATTACAAGTTTGTACAGACAACGTTTAACCTTGCGTTTACGCAGGGCAATGTCTAAGATACTCAGAATCGAAATAAACGATAGTTACAGTTATATCGTCCCTAAAAACTCTAACTACGGCGTCGGGTAAACTGAGCAACTCCGAGATTTTCATGTGGTCTATTCCGAATTCGGTACCACCTAAAGCGTTCCTAATAATGTGAGTGGCGGCATTCGAGTCTTTGGGTTTCATTTTCAACCCCTCTTTCCTTTGCAGCAGCATTTCGTTTATTTCACTTAACGTCATGTTCCTCCTGGGCAATTTTAACGGATTTAACGTCACTTTGCCCTTCATGTGCTCGCCGACGAGTTTCACCGCTTGAAGAGGAGTTATTTCGTCCCACAAGCCGTCTGTTGCGATAATTAAGAATTTATCTTTGGACGTGAGCCTGTGGTGGGTAATTTCCGGAAGAACCGTGAGGTATGGCGGCGTGAGGTAGTTCGGTGGGATAACGTGATCTCCGAAGTGCTTCGCGACGATAGAAGTCATTATTTCCTTGCTCCACTTAAACCTAAAGTCGCCTATCGAACGTAACGGCGCCAGCTGCCCCAAAAGCCTGTCCATTTTGATAACGGATCTGCTCTCGTTGTAAGGATGCTCCTTTATTATCCTGTCTACTTCCGACTGATTGTAGGTGTTGTGCTCGTTCGTTAATTTCTTGGCGACCCAAGAATTAGTCTCAGATAGAGTACCTGAAAATTTTTTTTTATTAGTTGTTTTTTGGTCGAAACCCGTTTTACATTTATATTTGACAGAATTCTCTTATTCCTCCATCAGAGAACATTTAAATCATTTTACATCTTTGCCATTTCATGAATTGGTCGTGACGTCACATAATTTAATTTTTTTCTACGTTACAATAGAACAAATAAATTCGGCTAATAAATATTTGGTCGTATCAATTCCCCTATATATTGACCCTAATTTCATAGCCAATTTATCGAAATAAGGGAGTTTACTTTTTAGTGCAATGATATAATTCTTGTCCAATTTTTTTAACAATTTATCAAGTCAAAGATTATTAAATGTAAAACAAGTTTCGAATTAATTAAATTAAACAAAAAAATACCTAAGACTGCACAACTGTCTCCGACGTTAGCCACATGCAGATGAGGTCCGTCAATGTGGGCTACGCAAGCTACAGCTCCTGACATAGCCACTGACATAGTTTTCAGATTTAGCTTTTCCCCCTTCTTTGGTAGGGCCTCTTGAGAAAGATCTTCGTCCAATCTCAAGAAAGCCTTCTGCATCGCTTCCTGAATATTAAGATTCCGTTTTTGACCTGACTGAAAAATTGGACTTTGTATATATGTAAAAATATACACTGTATAAAGGGTATTAGAAATTTGACTGCCTTAATTTTCACAGATGATAGAATACATTAAAATAAACAAAAAAACCTCATATGACACGAGTCCTAAACTCAACCATTTCCGAGAAAAAAATTTTGATGTACAAAAGTTTGATTAATTAAGGAATACTGACATAACTGTGTGCATAGAATACCATAAAATACAATGTTTATCACTTTGTTGAACTTCTTTATGCTTAATTCTAAAAAATAATTAGCGTTGTAATAAATTTAAAATTCGATGAAATTCATATCGAACAATGAGACAACGGCGTGGAGGTACTAAGGTCTCCAGCAACCACTAATACGCAATTCAGATGGTATCTGGATTCGACTGTGTCGGAGTGTTTTTTGCGTATCACTATTTGATTTTCTTAAGGTGTTTTCCAGCGATTGCGTGAAAATTGGATTCGAAGATGTCGTGCGTGAATCGGAAATGGTGGTGGACATTTAGAGCATATTTTGTAGATTGTTTTGTACTTGTGCGTTTAAAAATTACTGAATTTTTCTTTTTGGTAAGTACATACCCAAATTATTTTTAATACCCATGATTATTTGGACGACATGAATCTTTGGGTACTTTAACTACATATTTTTCAAATTCATAATTTGATTAAAAGTTAAGTTTCTCTTTTAAGAGATTCATAATTACTAAAATTCGAACTAAAATTTAAGCACAACATTATCTTCGTACTACAAAATCGATTTTATTTATTTAAAAATTGGAAAACAATTGTGTTGAAATTTACTAAATCTTTCACAATGATAGTTGTTTACATTTTTTCCGTAGGACAAGTCTGTCGCATGTACACATGGTGTGCATCAGCAGGTTAAGCGCTATTGTCACATTGTGACGAAACTCCCCAATATAACACTCACTGTATTGTGAAAACTGTTTATGACTACACTATCTCATGCTGCAGTAATGGCAGTCAAACTTCTTACACCCTGTATATAATCCCATTTAACGTTTTCATAGACATAGAAATAATCACAACATACCTCTGACAGATCTTTAATAAATCTGAGAAAACTCTTGGAGTATATCTCTCTGATGTCATCAACAAACTGTACTTTGTCATTATAAGTTTGTATAAGTTGAGGATTCGATTTCGTGAATGACGATACATACTCCATCAAGTTTTCATAAGGTAGCAGACATGCCGTAATGTACTTGTAAAGACGTTTTGCTACCACTTGGGCACATGCCCCTCCACCATGTCCATCAAAGACCCCTACTAGAAATCCTTAAAATAAAGTGTCTATTCAGTTTATATTTCTTATAATCACGGAACATGCCTATATATTAGTAAGTTCGATCAGATAAGTCACATACAAGTATTTGCTATGTAAACATGTTTTGTTCGTGCAATTTTTTATATATGGTTAGTATGCGTAGAATGCACTTAATAATTTATATCTATTTTGTGTGTGAATTCCTCATGATGCATGTACAAATGCGTATATTTCATTCTACAGACACGGCAATATGAAGTATCCCGTGCGATGTTATCCCTGAATAAACAAGATGAAACTAATATTGAAAAAATATTGTAACATTTTACTAATCAGCTTCTTCAAATTTTTGAAGTTGCGTTCATTATGAAAATAAAGATTAGTAAGGTGCTTGCTTTAGATGCACGAAAAGTGCTATCTCAGAATATAAACTGAATTTTTCAAATCTTACTAAATATCTGTAACATACCTCGCTGTAAGGAAAATACAAAATTAACTTTGTAACGTCATTTTATAGCATAATATTTCATACTAAACGCTATGCAACCTACCCGTTGTTAATAAACATGATGCCTCAGATCTAGTATCTTCGATAGGATTATTGGATCCTAACTGATTTGAGTCGTAAGACTTTATTGAACCTCCGGTAAATTCGTGTGTGTATTCGTTGGCACGCAAAATACTATCTACCTGCAAAAAAAATGGATTTTGTAGCTGAAAAATATTCAAGCATTATATGCATATAAATATTCTTATTAATGATTATTATTTACATTTTATCGACAATCATATGTAAAGAAACTTAACAGGTAGACATTGTATTTTTCATCAATCGCACAAAATACTTATTTTCTTGTTCAAATATTTGATACATACTCCTATTAACGTAAATACATACTTGATATTATAATCTTACTAGAAAATAATTTATTGTGTTATGATAAAGAAGACAATTTTGCTTGACTGAAAATAATTAATAAATCATAATTTAAGAGATTACAAACTGAATGAAACAATTGTTTACTTAGTTATGGTTAAGAAAATGCAAATTTGAATAAGATTTAGCATACATATTTTTTCAGATATGATGATTATTTTCTCTGTCAAATGTTCATAATGTACAGAAAATGAAATAAGAAAATATTTATTATTTTTTTGTTTGACTTTAGATTAAACAAAATTTTAAGAAATATAGAAATATAAATAAGTGATACTATTGAAGAGGTAAATATTTATGCTGCAAAATATCAGATAAACAGAATTGTTTATTTAAGTAGGAACATAATTAATTTTTTTAATTTTGTTTTGAATTTTTAGACAAAAATGTTAAATTGTGTAGGCCTGAATTAAAAGAAAATTTTAAAGCTAATCGTTTATTATTTTCCAACAAATTTTTACATATTTGTAATAAATAACATGAACAGAACATACAAATATTTCGTTTTTCAATAAATTATATGTTGAGTATATTTTACCTTGATAAATGTAGCTTTTTTATTACACAATAGATATGCAGTCAGTGCAAGACAATATCGTATCAATCACAGTATTAACGATAAGTCTCAGCGGTAAAGTAACAAGGCTACCAATTGTTTCATACTGGCTTGACAATATAAAAATAAAAACGTTCTTAATAACTATGTTAAGAATGTTGGTTATGGGCGAGACTAGGGTGTTAAAAATTAATGAAATTGGATCAGTGACTAATGTGAAGATGTCGGAAATAATATCTCTGGTAACACGCCTGTGGGGTATTTGCAAAGCAACACTCTCCAAATTATAAAAATTTTCAAACTCTAAATCGACGTCCCTTCTTTTCCTAGACGTAGTAACAATGGTGCCATTGATTATATTATCGAAAAGGTTGTTTACATCTGTCTGAATGACCACTATAACCTCAGCGACTCGAAGAACAACCACATTTACAAAATTTGCGATAATATCGAAAATCGGATTGCTTTGTGCACTAGCCGAATAAAAACTTAATATTACGGTCAGAATCTCATTTACTATGGTGTTAAATTCAGTCTGAATGGGAGTCAGAAAAACAGCGATTTGGGGACGAAGCATTGACAATATGAGGTCAATAACCAAATCACGTTTTGCTCTACCAGAGTTGCTTATGAGTGAAATTATTTCCCCGACCAAATTCACCGGTATTCCCTTGTTTACTAGAAGAGATTTTAAATCTGCAATGAGTACTTTAATTTGCTCGTCAACGACAGTATTGGCAACAATTTGTAAATAAAAATTTCCAGGATACAGCTGGTTTATGTAAGTTTTTGTATAGGTACGAAATACTTCTGCTAAAGCATCAACGTCAACCACTATTGAACTATTTGATATAACTAAAACTACTCCTCCTATTTCAGAGTTAAGCACATCTAAAACAGATTGGATATCATTATTAGAAGCGGCCTCTTTTACTCTTTGATCTTCAGTGTATTTTCTGACGAGAATTTCTAGTAGGTCTTCACTAGCATATGCTTGCCGTAGATTTTCTATAGAGTGTGGAATTAAACTTTTCACATATGAATGAACACTCGTGCGAGACAGATCTTGATTGATTATATTATTTAATTCTTCTGATGGGTTTTTCGATAAAATTGCTTTTTGATAACGCCCCAACGATTCAGGCAAATCCACTGAAAAGACTGTGTTGGCATTAACTATCAAAATCTACAAGAATTATTACTTATTTAGAACATATAATTTTGTTTTATAACATTTCTACTTACGGTTATTACACAACAAATTACACTTTTGGCCGCCATTTTCAGGCCTGTAGAGTCTACAAAGATATACGCCAAAATGAATCTATTGTTTTCTTATTTACATATATACAGCAAAGAAGTAATCCATATTCAAATAAGATTAGACACTTACTTAACTTTTCACAGAAACATTAACTTTTACTTTTTGTTCTTCTAAAACTAATTGTTCACGAAAACCTTGCGTAGTTACTTAGAAATAATAATTTATGGTAACATTTTGAGAAATAACTGTATTTACTATCCTTCTGCTTGCTTTTTTAAGTCAGCACACATGAACTGTCACCAAATTAAAAAAACATTTACATAATTATGTAAATATGAAGACATAGATAGAAATGGTGGAGCTTCCAACTGCAAGAAGACGAAAAGCAAACAATTTTTTCTCAACAGAATTTTTCAATATTTTATAGTATTTCTATACCGACCTAACATTAATGTGAAAAATTAGATACTCTGCATTCCCAAGACATATTTGATTTTTTGGAGACAAAATTACAGCACCACTTCATTTCTGATGAATAAGACAGCACGAAAGATGATATTTCAGTTTGAAAATATTTTGGCTTTTCAGGAACACTCAGTATACACACCTCTAATCCTTTTCTTATCAATTCAAAAGAGATAGTGTCACACAGAACCGTACAGTCAAAACTTAAATATTTTCCAACATTTAAAGACCTTGTACCATTTCAGTAAAATGACATCAAAATACATTTGTTTCTTAATTATTACCGTAAGTAACTTCATAATATATTTTTCCATTTCTCAACCTTATTTGCTTTGAAAAATTACGTCAAATTATTTTCTTGTTTTCGACAATACACAAATTAAAATTTAATTTATACTCGTTATCAAGTCAACGTCCTGCTAAAATTGATTATGTTCTTAAATATCCATGTATTATATGTATATTCATTCTATTATCATTTACGATTGTGTCTAATAAAATTCACAATCCTGAAGAATTTTATAGTGGAATAAATCTAATTTAACAAATAATTTAGGATGATAGATCGTAATAATTATGAGAAATAGTACTACATACAAAAGTTATTTTTTTAGGTATACTTAATTATAACACCAGTGTCATCCACCAAAGATTTAATATTAGGAAGATCATATATTGTACCAGCAGAAACATACGAGGAGACATTTAATTTATTAAGGCTAGGTGATACAGGGACCAATGTGCAGCAGATATTATATGTCGTATTTAATACTATTCAAACTGTAATCAGCATCATATTAAATCTGGTCTGTTCATCGATCACACCTATAACTGATGTAGTAGAAGCTCTTAGAGGATCTGTTCTTGAAAGTATTATTTCTATAGTAGACTTATTAGTCCCTGTAATTACTGCCGTAGCTCCACAGGTTGCACTGGTTTTGCAAGTTATACAATTAGTATTAGGTGCCAGTAATCAACTTTTGTACAACGGAACCATTATCATACAAGAATATGGATGCACAACTATTCTCAGTATAAATAATGTAGTTTCTAGTATTGTAAATGCCATTGTAGGAGTTTTCTAAAGTTTCAAAAAATTGGTACCTATTGATGTTCATGTATTTAAAAAACATGTCATTCGACTCAACAGAAATAGAATTCAATTCATTTAAGTTGGTGTATTAAGTAAGGTAATAAAGAACTGTTCAACTTATTTATTTTTTTCAATGAAATGAATTTAAATAATAATGACTAATACATTACTAGATTGGTAATAAAATAGCTTACCTCTTGTGGGGTTAACACCGCTCTAGATTCTCTAGAAGTCTGAAAATAGTCAGTGGAATGAAACCTACGACAAGCACAACATAACCTCACCAATGTATCATATCTTGAAATAATACTAGGCACATTTTTAGTATAATTAAAATAATTTCTTTGTATAAATGGAAGGCTCGAAGTAGAAAACGAAAATTTTTTAGATATTGTCATATTACTACTTTTTATTAAACCTTGGGTGCAAGCAACAACCATTTTTGAAAATATTTATATTACTATCCCAGTTTAGTAGATATATTTTAGTATTTTGCACTTCAACTGTCAAAGGAATTTACTATTTTTTTTAATGCCTTCACACATTTTTGATTAAATAAGTCTATTTTTGTCTTTTTAATTCTTTCATTGTCATTTTGCACAAATTGATGCCAAATAAATGTCATCAAAGAACTGCGTTAGTGCGCTGCACCTAAAAGAATTAGGTTAGTTAATCGGTATAGTAGGTTTCGAACTGGTATGTAGTTCATTTGATTTATTTAAAATTGTAAAGGTACTCTTACACTTCGCTATTCATCATGTCGAATAGTTGGGTATCATACATACTTTTAATTCTATAGTGAAGAAATTATAGATTATTATGTATATTTATCCAAACATTATTTGGAATGAATGGTACAAGAAATTTTCATCTACATTTTATTGTGCTTAAACATTTCAAGATAAACCTTCAACCCGTTATTTTTGTTACGATCATAACATTAGTGATTGATAAAATCGATATTAGTCGCTGGTTTTCTGTAGGCTTAAATTTCTACGATTTACATTAGCTTTATTCCTAGTTCATCAGTTTCCAACTGCCAAACGCATTTGAATTTGCTCCAAACAATGAATTTTGAAGCTCATATAAGTATTATACCGGAATGCGCATTCGTCCAAATGTTAGACTCTGTTTTGTATTGTTTCTAGGAACAAAGTACATTTTACAAGTTTCATCTTACCGTTTGTTCAACGCTTACTGCATATAATGGATTGGAAGAGGCACAGCGTGTTAAAAAGAGTAGACGCTGTAGAGAGAAAAGGCAATAGCTTGGGTTTTCTCTCTCTCTCTCTGACAATTTTATTTTGATATCACGAGGGAGTTACGTTAGCCAATTGCGTGCCTGTGCGAGAGAGAAATATAGTACTTAAACTTAATCTTTCTCTTTCTCTCTCTCGCTCTCTCTCTCTATTACTACACCGTCGCCGTACGCGTACTGCTTCCATGTAGTATATGCTCTAAAGTTGAAGGTATTCATTTGGTAAAGTAAAAAGTAGCTCTACTGCACGCTGCACGGTCCGTAAAGAGGACCGTCGTGCCTCTACTGTTCCTTATTGAGTAATTGAGTTGACTTTTGACAGTACTGTGACTATTGTGTGCTGTGGATGCTGTGGATGACGCAAGCGTGGAAGCGTGTTCCATAAATTCTGTTCAACGTCAACGTGTATGTCTTTTTGACACTTGTAGACATAGAGTTAAATTATAATACTGCATTTATTGTAAATATATTTCCATTTAGTTACAAATAGAATTTTTCCACCTAAACACTTTGATCTATATTCACCATATCTTTCATAGTATGAAAAGATTATAAAAGTGTAAATTGAATTATTTCTAGGTATGTAGACAAGGTTATGTGTCAATATTTTTTGTTAAATTGTCAAAATCATAGTATTAGAAACAATAAAGAATGAAAAATTTTAAATATATACGAATGTACCATTTATTTACTAATGGTTTAAAATGTATTCTTAGGCCAAGATAGCCATGTCTTTCCAAGGCAGAGTACGTGGAAGAGGGAGAGCATATCATTATCGAAATTCTAGGAACAATGAAAGAGTATCGAAAATAGTATCACCAACACCAGCACAAGATATGTCTAAACAAAATACCGGAAACATATCAAAACATGACAATAATTGCTGCCAGGAGATAAGCATAAGTTTAGAATTAGATGAAAATGGAACAATTTTTTTAGCAGAGCTAAAAAATATGTGGAACATGTGTAAGTCATAGTTAATATTAATAAGCGTAAATATCCAAAAATTTTGTCTTGGTTAAACAATAGGCTTACAATTTTAGTTTTAATATAGTATCTTTGGTGATAAAATTTATTTACAGGAACTTATATTTTGTTCGATGAATGCAATATGTACTGCATTATAATTCATTTTTAGTAAAGAAGAGCCCTCCTGTAATAAACAAGCTTCATCAGTATTTTAGTATTTTGGAAAATCCATATGTTCAATCTTTACGGTTACTCTACAATTGCCAAGAATTCCACATTGCCAAGAGCAAGACGTTGCCGATGTTCATAATTGAAGAATTCAAATGTTGGACTTTGATGTCGAGGAATAAAATAGTACATCTTTTGAACCCGCAGCTGAAAATCGATGCTTTCAAAGTTGTGATGAAACAAAATACCTTAACTTTGACTAAGTTAATTTTTGAAATATATGAGATGACTCAAGACAGTGATATATTTTTAGATATTATTAGATGTATGATCGAAAAGAAACAGTACAAAGAAGTAAGTTATTTTGCTTGTACTTGTAGAAATATTTGATATACTTGTTTTATTAAATTCTAGGCTTGCCAATATGCAACGTTACTTAATTTACAAGACAAATTTTCCATTGATGATTTTCTCGTACCACTGGTTCTGCAGGATAAGTTATTTGGGGTCGATGACTTTCTAAAAGCTAGCCCTAAACATCAGGTAGACCTAGTAGTATTTTTGGATTCCATACTGGGGAATGCATCCGTGAGAGAAACGATGGGGGATTACGTTACGTATGTTTTACTTTGTCACATGAAATATAACATTCACGTCATGATTTCAATCAATAATTAGTAATAATAATAATTAGTCGCTAGTAAAATATCAAAATTTTGTTTATAGAATATTGTTTTAGTAAATATGGCATTCCGGAAGTAAAATTCGAGAAGTTACATGCGAAGCCTTGGAAGAAACTTATCGCTCGTCTTTTGAAAATGTTCAAACTCTCTTCCGACCTTACACCCAATCTGAATAAGAGAAGGAATGAGGGTGCCCTCAATTTTCTGCTTCATAAGAGATTCACCGAAAATAATTTCGGTAAGTTGTCGTGAAAGTATTCGATGAAAGTCTACAATTTGATTTTTCGTAGGCGATGAAAGTTGGAAAGAAATGGTGCAGGAGGCGGTCGGGGATGACGAAGAATTGCAGAAGGAATTGATTTATCAAGTAGCTCATTATGGTGATACTTCAGAGGCCCTAAGATGGGCCCATTTTTATAATATTGACAGAAAAGATTGGCCTTATAATGTGAGAATGCTGGAGGAAAATCCTGACGGTAACAGGTAAGAATGTTTTTTTTTTTTTTAAATTAATTAATTAATTAAAAATTTTCATTTTAAATATTACGATTTTGTTTCAATTCAATACATATATATGTAGTTAATATATACTGGCAATTATTCAATCTTATCTTCATCTTATCTCTCATTATCAAACACACGTAAGAAAGATATTAAAGTGATTGTGAATAAGTATTCTTGGAAGTTGTTTTAACGGGGTGAATCATAGAAAATCTAAAGTGGGTAAGGAACTGAGACGTATACACCCGTGGACGAAATAAACTTACCACTAAAAATTGCCATCAATTTAAGAGTTGTCGCTAATCCGATTTCAATGATCTTTTTTTAATTTAAGTTATTTAATTCAATAATGACATTAAAATGGAGACGTTTATTGAAATTTTATTTTTCAACAAATACAGGGTGTAAAAAAGGATAAATTGGCGGTTCGTGACATTGAGAATGGGTGAAGCATATTCATTGATTGACTATTAAGAAAAAAAAGTGCCGCAGGCGAAAATTTACAAGGTTTAAATTTTCAAGGTCAAACGGCTTCAAATGAATCTGGAAATTTTTAGTTGCATTTGCAATAGTACCCAAAAACTGACACAAAACAAAAAATATTAACAAAGAATTGTGTACTGGGCGACACGACGTATCATCTAAAGTGTTTAAATACAGCCGATGGGTGATAACAATGCTGCTTCAATTTCCGCCTCATTCCCCCACGTCGTAGTTTACTCACGTATTGGGTGGTATTAGTCGCCTCGTTGCCATGACAACCGGCCGTAAACGACGCTACGAAGAGAAGCGGATTAGTGTTTGCGCTCAACAAGGGCTATGTTTTTTAGAAGGCGTTCACCGTGCAATTATTGTTTATTTCTGCGTGTAAAACAAATAAAGAATATATTTTCAATATGGAATTATACCTAAATATATCCATAATTCAGCTATATTAGCAAACGTCTAATTGAATCAAGCTGTAGACCTATTATTTTAACTGATGCTATTGTAGGGAACAATTATTCTGCAGTTAGATGCCTCGTCAAGTGTTGAGTTATACTGGCAATATCAAATAAATAAGTAAGATCATTCGTCAGTCAAACCCACCAGGCATATACTGGTTTTAGACTTACTAGTTCTCATCGGTATGTCATAGGTGAGACATACCTACCGACATGGAACGAATACACATGAGTGGTCACTGCTACTCAGTGAAGACTAATAATAATAATAAGGCTGAAACTACTATGTGTCTGGTGGGTTCGTCAGTCGAATGTTGGAAAGAGTATGCAGTCTGCAAAGTAATTGTTGTGTCTCTCTTATAGAATTTTACCATTATTAAATGGAATAAATAAAAAAAAAGATTATCAAAATGTTGATGAAATTTAGTATTTCGTATTCTTAAAAATTTTCAAATCTGTGCGAGGTAAAACACGATTTTCTAAATTTATGCTCACAGACCACAACAGCGGATGATTCAGTCAGAGACAGATTCCTGGGACGATGAAATTCAAGCCCCTGAGCCCGTAGAATACCACAAATTCCCTCTGGCATCAAGTGATGTGTATTTGGTTGACAGTCCCCTCGGTTTTGAAAGTTTTTTAGATACAGGACTGCAAGTAAGTCGCCGCAAAAACACTATGTACAAAAATAATAAAACAACCTTAAGAACGTCATATGTCACTGTTTTATATAAATAATAGTTTGATGTAACGCTTTGTTTCAGGAAATTGATATCGTAGGTATAGACTGTGAGTGGAAGCCCAGCTTTGGGAGTCACCCGAGCGAGTTAGCTTTAATTCAGATAGCCACTAGGAAAAATGTGTTCGTACTTGACATAGTTAACCTTGGCAACAAGGTGCCGCACTTGTGGCAAGAACTTGGCAAGTTTCTCTTCAATAATTGTGATATCTTGAAATTAGGTAAGAGGAGTTACCTCTTTGGAGGTTTTTTTAATTCGCGTATAATTTCAGGTTTTAGTTTAACTGGTGATATTCATATGATAAGACGTGCTTTACCGTACCTTAATTTTACCGTAAAGCAAGTTGGATTTTTAGATTTGTGTTCATTGTGGAAACACCTGGATAAGTTTCCGAAGGTAAAATTGCCGTATGAAGGTACGTCGTGTTCTCGCTGAAAATGTTTCCAGTACTGATTCCGCAAAATAATTTCAGTACAAAAGGGCGGTCCCAGTCTCAGCACCCTTGTACACCACTGCCTGGGACGCCCTCTGGACAAATCCGACCAGTTTTCCAATTGGGAGAAGAGGCCGCTGCGAGAGAGCCAGATAGAGTACGCCGCTCTCGACGCCTTCTGTCTCATCCAAGTCTACGACGTTTTGAAAAAGAGCTGTGAGGACGCGGAATTCCCTTTCGAAGAGAACTGTTACAGTCTCATGACCAACGAGAAAATGGCCAGGAAAAAGCCAAAGAAAGTGGGGAATAAAAAGGTTGGTCAATTTTCTTTGTTTTAAAAAAAAATTTACTAATAGAGTTTTTAGGGTTTCTGCATTCAATTTTTTTATTTTTATATTATTTTCACGCTAAAATTATTTTTTAATGTAAACATTCATTTGTTTTAATTGCATGCAATGCAGTACGATTTTATTTATTTATTCATTATATAGAATGTTATCGCACTTGATATAAAAAAATTACAGATTGACTGACAGCGCTCCGGCGAAAGGCTGGATAAGCCACCGAAAACGAAGATCAAATTGGCCATAACGTATTAATTGTGTTTTCTGTAATTTTCACAAGTAATTTTGATGATAAATGTAATTTTTTACGATTTGCCTTTTATAGAAACAGAACGACACGCCTAATAAGGAGGTCGTGCAACCTGCGAGTCCGCAGTCTACGCCTGTACCAGCGTGCAAAATTAAAGTTGTCTGTGATACTATGCTGCAAGGACTCGGAAAGAAACTGAGGAGTTGTGGCATAGATTCTACTATTTTGGAAACACACGAGGATCACATGTTATGCGTTAAATATGCTCAAGACGAACAGAGATACATTTTGACGAAGGGATACGATACATTTAGAATGGTAAGTGAACACAGTAGAACCCCGATTATCCATGCGGCGGATTCTTCGTACGCTGCAATGTTTATGACTGTCCACTATCCGTGCGCTGATTATCCGTGGCGGGGCGAAAAAAGCACTTAAAAACAAAAACAAAGACGAGTCTCTGCTTGTTTGTCGCGTGCTATCTTTATACAGGATGTTTCGGGTTAAGTTTCGATTATTCCTTTATAGATATTTTATAAAATATTTCCGATTTTGATGATATATTTAACGACATTTACTACATTTGATTATAAAGTCACTGTTGTAACTCATTGTGGGGATTCTAAGAAAAGAATCCTATTTTATTCTAAATACGGACCATTTTTAACTTATTTTTGCTTTTTTAAATTAAGTATATTAAGTCAGCTATCAAGCACCGGAAATATTCTCCAGACTTAGTCCCGGACACTTTCCCTGGAGTTTCTCCAGACTTTTCCCCCGGAGTTTTCCCCCAGACTTCCAACGGAATTATTCCCCGAATTTTCTCCTGGACTTTTTCCCCGGAGTTTTAGTTGATATTCATTGTATTGTTTCTTTTCTGTTAACTACAATGGATGTTTTTTTTTGGACGATTTTGTTTAATATACTAGAGTACAGTCAATCTCGCTTCCAGCTAAATGGATACGTTCCGTCTGGATACTGCCTTAAAATAATCAGTGATGACGTTGACGAACAAATAAGAGAAGTCCTGGATTACTACAAGGTCATTGTAACCAAACATCATGTGTTCAGTAGATGCCAGGTTAGGAGTCATACGAAACTGTCTAAATTGCCGAAACTTTTGCAACAATATTCTGTCTTTCAGGCTTGCAATGGGAACAGTTTCGTGAAAGTTTCCCGATCCACAATGGACGCTTTAATTAAATCTTCCGAGGCAGACACTTGCCCCCCGCCGGCTGACTATTACGAGGACGAAGCCACTGGTTTTTCAAGCGAAGACGATTACGAGGAAGCCACGCCGTCGCATGCGGTAAATAGGAAGTGGGAACTATGTAAGTACTTACTTTCCCACATTTAAGAGATACTAATAGCAACCCGTTATAAAAAGGGGTTAATATAAATAATTTAATTTTTTTTAAACTTCGTAGATCCGGATGAAAAAGTGGACGTGGGCCTTTGTCAGACGAGAACGGGACAGAAAATTCAGGTGAAGGCCGTTCCCAAGCCGTTGATCGACAAATATGACTTTTTCTACATCTGCGAGGAGTGCGGAAAAGTGTATTGGGATGGGACACATTTCGAGAGGGTCTTAGCTGGCAGACTTCAAGGAATTGTGCAATAAGGTTAATTACATTAAATTATGTTAAAGTTATAAACATATTTTATTACTTTTCTTCTATTTTATTTAATTTTAAACCTTTAATAAATAAGTGTACAGTACGTTTCGTTTTTTAATTCACCCGAATTTGGTTTGAATACGATAAGGTGGAAGTTTAAAAGTAATTTTTGAAAAACATACATGAAATTTTTTAATGGACTAAGAGGATGACAAATATCAGTGGACTGATTCCATATAAATAAGAATATCTCATGGTTATTGAGGCTATTGCCCAGTTTCGGGAAAGTTAGGCCATCAGTGTCTAGAGGACAGCGCAATAGTGCAATCGACATCGTCAGATCTAAGTATGACTAAAAAAGGCAAATTTTCACTTAAACTGTTACAGTAAGGTAACAAAAGTAATATATGTCATAAATAAAAATGATAAATACGTAATTTCTCTCTGAAAACTGAGGGTGTCGACCACAATGCCCCCAGGACCTTAAATGGCCTACAAACGTCAAAATTTATGGCATTTATGGGCTTCCGTCAGTCCTTCCTTACCTCGACTCGACTTATTTGAGCGTAGCTTGACAACGCAGCAACAAAAAATTTAATTTCATAAAAAATTAAAACAATCTAACTGCATCCATTGTTTGTGTTAAAAATATTTTAATTTCCCTTCTGTTGTTCACTTTTAAAACGTTTATCTAGGAATAAAACTATATTCACAACTTCTACAAAACTGTATTTTTTATTTTCTCTACAGAGTACAGACTATCTTCTGTTATTATTTATTTTTAAACAAAACAAAACCTTTTCTTGTCGCCAACTTATTAAAACACAATGTCACTAACTCAGTTCTGCCAGCCTTACAAGTTACAATATTAAAAATACTTATAAATTCATATTTTTAACAGTTTGATAATGAAAAATATGTATCAGGTTTCGGGGGTATTATCGCAGATGCTAACTCTCACCTCCTACTTTCGAAAAAAAAAAGAATTCTATTAAAATTTTTAATAATATTTTCAATTCTTAATAAATGCTCGTTTGCAACCTTCAAATTTTTAAATACGGGTATGTGCAAGGCGCACATTTATATGTTTTATGGCGCAAATGTTTCTAAATACCTCATTCAAGGTCAATTAATATGTAATAGCAAGATCAAAGGTGCCGACAAAAAGATATACTTCTTATTGTCATGTTCTGTGGTTTTAGTATAGACTATATATAGTATAGCCCACTTATGATTTAAATTTAAAACATTTTGAACAATAACTCAATAATTTCAAATAGTTTTTTTTAAAGATTGGCATTATTTTTTACGGTTGTCTAATGTCTAATGCGTTGTTTGTAGATCTTTGGAATAAAATAATTACTATATCTTACTATAGACTAGCCCACTTATGATTTACAATTAGATTTAAAACATTTTGAACAACAACAGTTGTAATCTATGGTTGTAATAAATTCAAATAGTTTTTTTTTTAAGTTGGCATTACTTTCTACGGGTGCCCGTTTTGTTGTTTGTCGGTCTTTGCCAAAAAATTTTAAAATACGAAATTTTTACGTGTCCGTGTCACATAAATTCATTAACTGCATAATTATAATATAGAGTGATTATGAGGTGACAATAATGGTGTTGTGTTTGTGAAAAGTGACCATTGCGAAAACTTGCGACTGAAAAAAGTGGATGGAATCAACAGACCAACGCCAAAAGTGAGTTTAGTCGTTTGTATAGCATGTAATTATTGTGCATAACTTATATTTTTATAATGAATTGAATATTAGTTACAATTATAATAGGTTAATAATGCTGGGACCGATTAGATCAAAGCGGTTATAATGGATACCATTAATTTTAGCTGATTACAATTTATTTTTATTATCAACTGTTATTTAATGTCGCCGCCTACCAGCTCGGTAGCACCCTTGATATTTGTATCCGACGTGTTTAGCTGATATGATAAAGTTCTTTGTTGCCGAAATGCAGTACAAGACAAAAAACGTTATTTAACAGGTTGCCACTGCAATAAAAAAGTACCTTAAGAAAGTAAACATAATAAAAAAGCATGATGGAGTAGCGGTATTTCACTAGCTAGACTATTTATATTTCTATTATATATGGGGCGTTCCACGCCAAATCGGACGGTTCGAAAAATTTAAATTTTCGATTTCCTTAATTTTTTTATATTTTTTAGTACCCCTCAAAAAAGCCTTTCTGGTAAATTTTCAGATTTGATTACTTGTTCAAAAGGTATAAAATTTTCAAAAAAACGCTCTTTTTTTGGTTTTTTGATCATAACTTTCTTAATAATGGTCCAAATTAAAGCTTTTTTTTTATAAAAATATTTGTTTTTAGATGGCCTTTACAGATAAAAATACAAAAGAAATATTCAAAGTGTTTTTGATTAAGATTTTTAAGTTTAAAATTTTAAATCGTGTTTTTGAAAGTGTATCTTTCGATTTTTGTGAAAATTTTCTATTTCAAACTACTATTCTTTTAACAACTTTTAGGACCGGTCCGGTCGTGGGCCCTCCATAATTACTATTTTTTTTTTGATTTTTGAAATTTAAAACAAAATTTTTCTCTATAAATCATTATAAGTACCGATTTTTGTATACCCTTTTTTACTTATTTTAAATTAATATTAATACTTTTTAATTATTAATAGGTGTTTAAAATCAATAAGTAAACGTTGTCTATTTATAAACAATGATAACAAACGTTTTTATTTATTTTCGTGTTCTTTTAAAAATTGTTTCAAAATTATTTTATCAATGTTTTTTTTTTGTTGCAAAGTATTTTTTTTATTTAAATAATAGTATCTTTATGAATTTCTATTCTATTTAAAAAGAGTCGCACATCTTATGATTATTATTGATGTCAAATTTTCACCTGAGAAACACTATTTAGATGCAAAAGAAAAATTAAATTTGCGATACAATATAGGGACCCAAAAATTTCATTCAATCATTCTAAGGAGCAATGGAAATATATTAGGTAAGAAGTATTCTAGTTTACAAAATAATATTTTGTTCCTTGGAATGATTGAATGAAATTTTGGGTTTGTTTGGGTTTGGCTGTATTGTAACGCAAATCTAATATTTTTTGCATCTAAATAGTGTTTCTCAGCTGAAAATTTGACAGCAATATTCATAAGATGTGCGACTCTTTTTAAATTGGATAGAAATTCATAAAGATACTATTATTTAAATAAAAAAAATACTTTGCAACAAAAAATAGCATTGATAAAATAATTTTTAAAAGAACACGAAAATAAATAAACACGTTTGTTATAATTGTTTATAAATAGATAACGTTTAATTATTGATTTTAAACACCTATTAATAAAAAGTTTTTATGTTGACTCTATTAACGTTTGTGTACTTAAATTTCAAAATCTTAAATATTTTAACAAAAAATAGGGATTTTCACAGATTTTGGGCTGCTGGTCTTCAGAAGGTCAAAATACAAGGTGTTATCATATTCTGTTAAAAAGTGTAAAAAAATATGCAGCTGTTTTATAATTTTTTTTATAAAATAAGAAAATTGGGAAAGGGGATACCTATTTTTTTTGAAAAATATTTAGGCATTGCCTATTTTAAAATGATGCAGATTGTTATATTTTGTCGACATGTTTCGACGGGGAATATTTAGTAAATGTAAAATGAAATGAACTACATATTTAAATTGCCTATCTACTCAAAATCGTGTATAGGTCAAAGTATTGTCATCAGTACCTATAATAATTAAAATCAGTTCGAACATCCAAAATATTCAACTTTTCGTCAGCTACCCTGTAAGGTGCTAATTTGACTACGTTTAATAATGCAAGACTTGCCTCCATTGCGAACGAAAATAATAGATGGGAATTGGGAAGAGATCGTGGGCAGATAAAACACCATGGAAATAGTACAGTTTCATAATCATATAATATATTATGAAAATATTCAATTCACAGCAATTACAGAGTTACAGTAAGTGATATGTAATAATAAATTATAAAGATATACCTAGGTTCTTAAACATAATCTGTCATCCATCAGATAGAGCACTAATAATTATAATCATTATTAAAAAATCTATTCATATTGTGGCGTACTGGCTAATTAAACTGTAAACGAGATCTGTTTAGTACCGATATCCTCTAAATCCACCACCTCCACCGCCGCCTCCAGGTCGATATTGGCCGTCGTCTCCGTCGTCTGTGTAACCACCGCCGCCTCCTAGCCTGTTTTGTTCAAGAGATCTGAAAAGTACATGTAATAAACAAGCTTGTCTCGTCTGTGAATTCAGTCAGGGTTTGAACATACTGATCAGTGGCGTCGGCAATGAAAGTTAGAGGAATTTTAATTATCAAAAAATTTATTACTGACACGTTACGGAGAAATTTCTAATTGCAAATCTGGTGGGATTATTTCCAATCAAAACATTTTTGTCCCTTGAGTTTTATTTAAGTAGTAGAATCAACGATTTATGATTGAAAGTTCAAAACCCTGTCAGGTGCTTGTCAGTAGCGGACCATAAAAGTAAATTATTTCGCTCTAACTGTTTAACAATCAGGTATTACAGAAAGTTTGAAAATTTAAAGCCTTTAAATAACAGTTTTAGGAAAAATCATTAATTGTTTTTTTTTTTGTTTATTTTGGTGGGAAAAGTGAAGCCTGAAAGTTGGTCTCGACGTTTTTATGGCACGAATATGGAAGCTAAGAGAGTGCTTTGATTGTGAAATTCGGTTTACCATATAATTTACTTTTATTTCATATCTACTTGCTAATTGCTACACTGATTGGTTTCATAAGAATCCTCGTCAATAAGAAGAGCTAGTCTGTTGCGACACCGCCATACATCTTGAAATATATCTATTAATCGAAACAAGTTTCTTTATATGAAGCGTAATTTTGATTTTTCTAATATGTGATTGTAAAAGGTAAAGATCTCAGGTATTTGAAAAAACGGTGATAGAATTTTTGTATCCTTATTTACAACAATGGACTGTTTTAGCTATATTCAGCGAGATGATAGTTTCTTGCACAACATTCAAAATATTGCTTCTTGGTTGTTTGATGTAGGTATAGATCTTACAAATTCATTTAAAAAATCATTATGTAAGCGATTCCATAAAAATGTGACATAAAGTTATAGTCGATGTGAGACGTTTTTTGATCTTACCAAGATACAGGGCGATAAAATTTTAGATTCGTATTCATTTTTTACTGACAAAATCCTTTTGATTCTCGTTTATTGGAAAAATTAGAACAATAAGTCCGGGATTTAAAACTAAATGTACTTAAAAACGGTTGATCTTACCAAAAATTTAACTAATAGAAAACTCGAGAGAAAGCTGTATGGCTTAATGGTTCAGTTTTACATCAAACAGCAGATAATAATTAAATAATAATAATTGTCAATAATAAAAAAGGTAAACAAATAAATAAGCAATAAATACATTTTTTAAATAAGTTTTAAAAAGATGTCCCAAAACTCCCTGTCCTGCGACACTGGCAGATGTCATGATAATAAATAACAGGACAACTGAGAACGACTCGCAAAAAAACAGCAAGAAATGTACTGACATATTTTTATATCTATCTCTCTTCTCTAAAAAAATGAACTAACATTTTATTTGATTGCAATGACATATACGTAAAGATTACACTTAGGGGGAATATTATTCGTTTTCCTTATTTTTTATTTCAAATGTGACAAATTAATTGCAAAACATAGTAGTTTCTAACAGCGTATGATTGTTATTGACTTCTTCCGTGTTTAAAAATCCTAACTTTGAAACTACATCAATTTTTCTGTATTTTGCGCCGCTGATACTCTCATCTTAAACGAGTGAATATTATTAACGTCGACATCCCTACTTCCGCAACTTTTTTTATCGATTTTTTAACAAATACCTGAGGATTGCATCCGGTATAGGCGGGGGTGTGGGCAAGTGCGATCCAACCGGCCTGAAACCGTTCTCGTCTGCCACATACTGCAAGCTTATCCTCTGGCCATCGGGCGCCGTATAAGAGAAGGATCCGTCTGCCTCCTGGGCTCCCTCCGGTCCGACGCCTTTCAAAAAGCCCCTCTCCTGGGCCGCGATGCCGTTGCCGGTCTCGTAGGCGTAGCTGTAGCTGCCGTCGCCTTGGTTGGGGTTGTTGTCCAGTCTGGAACCGAGTATAATCGTATTTTATTTATTTTTTATACGAATATACATATATTTATTACTATTTTGGGTAATAACCACACACGAGCCTTAGATAATCCTTTCCTTACCTTAGAATTGGGATTTGTGGGCCCCCACTGTAACCGCCCCCGCCAAAACCACCTCCAAAACCGCCCCCACCTCCGCCGCCGCCGCCGCCGCCGCCGAATCCGCCTCCTCTACCGAATCCGCCACCCAAAGGAGGTAGATATGAGTCTAGGCGGGCGCTGATCGCTACACCTACCAAGGTGGTGAAAATGACCTGCAAAAATAATAATAATACTTAGAGTTTATTATACAGGGTAGGAAAGTACCGATGGTCTATCTAAAGTTCTGTGAGAGCGATAAAGTAAGCCATAGAAATCCATGCGATAGAGAAGGATGGCTATAATTAAGGCGTCTCATAGTCACCGCCCTTTTCGCCCTTCCACAAATAATATCCACTTCTTATTTGTCGAAGGGCGGTGACTATTAGACGCCTTCATTATAGCCATCTTTCTCTATCGCACGGATTTCTCGGACTGACTTTATCGCTCTCACGTAACTGCCGATGAAACATGGGGACTTTCCGTATATACTAGACAGTTTTGTACATTATTGATAAATATTTCTTGAACTACAATCAGTTTAAAGTACCTAGACACTAATAGATTTCTTTGGTGGTGGAAATTGTCGATGAAGAAGAATGGAAGGAATAATATGAGGATAGAGGAAATAGCATTTAGCTACAGATTCAAGGATAATAATACAAGACACGTGGGAAAATGAAGTTACAGGGGATGTTAAACTTTGATTTGATCAAAGGATTTATAATTTACGTTACTCTTCGTGGAGTTTCGTCAGGAGTAAACTTTCGATTCCTTCTGAAGATATCAACAGCACATATAGCAAAACGTTAAGAATTCGAACAGTTGTTCGAATTCTTTAGATTTCGAGCGGTTTGTTAAAGACGTAATAGAAGAATCTCAAAAATATGAAAAATATATAGACACAAAATGCAATGTGATATACTGTTCCAATTTACATTTTGTTATAGACTTCAGACATTACATTTCGTACCTAAAGCAACAAATAGTAAAAATCATATAACCGCTTTTACAATTTTCTATTTTGGACGCGCTTTATATGCATTTTTCTTCAAACTACGAACAGACAAATTTTAAATAAATGCTTTAAGCTCTTACTATCTACTCGCGCATTTCTTTCCCGTTGCTGTCCAAGTGGATAAATAGGAAGAGCAAACATACATTTTCAGTTAATTTCGGATAAGTATTATACATATATTCCTTATATGTAAATTTTATGAACACATACATACTAAACTCAAGAGTAAATGATTTCCCACGTTCAGTGAAAGGTCTGCTAGAAATTGCAGAGCATATTTTATGAATTGAAGACGAATTCAGAGAAAATAAAATACAGTACAAGTAAATATATGATTTCCGTCACTACTAGATTTGTAACATCTACCATTTGAGCACTGAATACCAAATATACGTTATATTTGGTCCAATTGCATTGCTATAATATACCAACTTACCGCGAGGTTATTCACCTTCCTGTTCTCGAAAGTTTTAAAACAGTCACCATGAAAATTTCCGGATAAATAAGGATTTCCTTTAAGTAAAAGTTTACAGCAATATTTGATATTTAATACATTGTAATTTAAAGGAAATATTATAATCGCTTTAAAATTAATTATTTTTTTGATTAAATGTTAATTCAAATAAGAATATTTTAAGTAGCAGGTTATATTAAAAAAAAAAATATGCTTGGTTCGATTTTTTTAGAGTTATATCCATTACTATTTATTATTTTCATCCCTTAAGATATATATTGGGCGTTGTGAATACGGAATCGAAATCAATATTCTTACCAGAGAGGAAAAACGGAACTATAAAACCTAAACACCAGCACAAACTTACTGAAAAATGGACTACTTACTAATTTCATGATGTAAAGTGTTCTAATGCAGATGTAATCGTGTTACAATTATTTATACAAGCAGGATGGTCCGTCTTGCACCTGCAAATGCACCAGCGCCCCTCCATGGTCCTCCGTAATGATGAGCCTCGGCATTTACAAACGGCGGAATCCGCCTGCCATTTTCTGTGATCCAGATCAGATCACCAGCCCATAAATCATCAAGGTTGATTGCGTGGCATGCCTAGATCGACGATTTTTAGGAAGCGACCGTCGGGATGGGCGCATTCCTATGTCGTCGGATAAGTGATGCGGGTGTGGACCGCTGCATTCGCGGTGGGACAATGATAATTTGCATTTTCTTAGGTTTCTCGTTAGCTTTGGTGCTGGCGAGGCACCGTTTCTGCATTGGAATCTCACAAACCCATAAAGTGCGACTTAGATAAGGTTAAAGATTTAACCCTCAGTCTATATTAAGAAAAAAATCAAGTAAGTGTCCAAAAACTTCTGATCAACTCAAAGTGATACAGTTTGCTACAGTGTGTTTTATTTAAGGACTGGCCACCCCCACAACTTTTTTATTTATTTACAGATTTTAGCTACTTTTTTCTATGTTGGATAGCCCTAAATGATTGTCGGAAATGTGTTCCAATTCTTCAGTGAGATAACTTCATTTTTTGTTATTCTTAAAAAAATAATCCCTACAGACAGTTTTTTTTTACAATAAGGAATAGGAAAAAGTAACTTTTATGCCACTTTTTCAAGTTACATGACTTGTAGACAAAGTAATGAATGTTTCGTCTTTCAAAAAAGTGTGTAAAAATGATGTCTATTTAGAAAGGGTGGACCATTAGTGTGAGAAAGTAAAATAACTCCCTTTTTATTCATAATACAGAAAAAAAGTTTATATAAAAGTTGTACAGAATCAAAAAATTTGAAGGTCAAAATAAATTTGAAATATATAGGGTGATGAGTAAAAACGGAACACGCCAAATATTACATTTTTTTAATAGAACACCCTGTATATTTTAAACATGGGTTTCTGAGAAAATTTTTTACATGTCAATATAAACAGTTTAATATTTTAGTGCGGGGTTGCCAAGTTATGTAGAAAATTCTTCGAATTTTGGGAAAAATTTGATCTCGAAGAAGTTGTATTAACTTTCAACTACTGACACTAGGAGCAAAAATATTTAACAGAGTTATAGGCAAATGTTAGGTAAAGACTTCTATATTAGCTAATATCGATATTTTATACAGGGCATTTTTTATAATACGATAATTTTTAGAAAGTTCAAACTTGATTTTCTAAAATTTTTCAAATGGAACACCCTGTATTTTACTGTTTTATTTTATTTACTTAACAGTCCACTTCAACTTTTATTAAGTATGTTCTGCACCTAAAGTTGTTAGTTTTTAAGAAATAGCAACATTTCTGGAAAAACCTAATTTTTATTATTTTCGGTCGCACGAAAAAAGCTTTGGAAAAAACTGTCACATTGTGTCAACTTGTCTGTTCATAATTTATCATTCCATTTTGAGTTAATTTTATTAGTTAATATTTATTTGTGGTAAGTATTCTATAAAATAATACAAATTAAGTTTTTTCAGAAATATTGCCATATCTTAAAAACTAACAATTTTCGACATATAACTTTCTAAAAATGATCGTATTATAAAAAATGCCATGTATAAAATATCGATATTAGCTTATTAGCTTCTATATTTAGGAGCCTTTGTCTAACATTTGCCTATAACTCTATCTAATTATTTTGTTGTAAGTGTTAGTAGCTGAAAGTTACTACAACTTTTTCGTGGTCACATTTTTTCCAAAATTCAAAGAATATTCTACATAATTTGGCAACCCCGCACTAAAATGATAAACTGTTCATATTGCCATATATAGAATTTTCTCGGAAATTCAATTGTTTAAAAATATACAGGGTGTCCCATTAAAAAAATGTGATATTTGGCGTGTCCCGTTTTTACTCATCGCCCTGTATGTTTCAAATTAATTTTGTAGTTTAGGTTTTTTGATTCTGTACAACTTTTATATAAATTTTTTTTCTGTATTATGAATAATAAGGGAGTTTTACTTTCTCACACTAATGGCCCACCCTGTATGTAGAATATCCCGAAGTCATTCTAACATCGGGTGGGTAATTTTGATGACGAGTGTTCCGAATCTCATAACCTACAAAAAATTTTCATGAATTTTTTGGTGATTTTCAGGATGAATCTTAATGAAAAATAGTGGTATCAAAATAAACAAAGAAGCATTTTGAAGCTTTAAGTTTCTAGTTTCAGATCTTTTACACGAAAAACGTTTTTTTGAGCTGCGATTATCGAGCAATCAAAAGAAATATCTCGAGAAAAAATGTACCAAATTTTCTTAAATTTAAACAAACTATATCTAGAGCAAAACTGTGGGAAAAGTTGAGAAAAATTCTTCTTTTTCATGTTGATAATGATTACCCAATCTTTAGGAGTAATAAACGTTTTCTTTTATTTTTTTCTAAATCTTGGACTGATGACTTGGAACAGAAAAACGGTTTGTTGCATCAACATGTCAATTTCGAGGTCAATTTACAGGGTTATTGTGTGTACATTGAGCTGTAAAAATTTCTCTCAACATTAGACTTTTCGTAAATATTTGTAAATTAGTGGTAGATTTTCTAAAAAACTGTAAAAAGTAATTTTTTGTATTTTTTTCTTTTCCTATAAAAAATTGTGAAAATTTTTTTTCTCGGGGTATTTTTTTTATTGCTCGATAACCGTAGCTCCAAATAATTTTTGTCTAAAGATCTTGAAACTGGAGACTTAAAGCTTCAAATTGTTTTTTTCTTTATCTTGATACGACCATTTTTTACTGACACACAGCCTTTCGAAAATCACGAAAATATTCGTGAAAATTTTTTGTTTCTTTCATTTTTTCCAGTAGTGTAAAAAGCAAAAAACGGCTAAAGTAGACCAATCTGTTGCTAACTTAATTCCAAATTATTTTTAAAAAATTATTTAAAAATGTTTTATCTGTTTTAATTTTAATTTTTTTAAATCTATAAAATTAGTTTTTTTTATACGAAACAAGTGATCATTTTGTTTCAGTAACATGTCTGCATATATATAAATTATATTGCTTCTTAGAAGGATTTTATATTTAATTTGATTCCGATTAATTTTTTATAGAAATAATATGTATTTATTCCGCTCTTGTCACCACTGAAGAAGCCTCTAAATCGAATAAATGAATGGAGAATTAATGTTATACTATCTACACGTATTAAATCAGTAATGATTTATTCAAGAATTTGCAAAAGATGAGTAAGTGGAGTCCACCTTAAAAATGTCTTATACGAAGTAAATGTCAGTTTTTTATTAGGCATTGCCTACTTTATTACGTCGTTCACATTTAAGTAGCTCATTTTTTTCACGTTCGAGAACGTTTGACATTTACACCGTCCTTTCCCTGTTAATGTTTATTTTACTCCACTTTTCATTCTACGATCAAATAATTAATTCAAATCATATGCAACGGATAATCAACGATTGTTTTAGGATTTAAGTAATAACAGCTATGAATTTCACGATTCGGTTTTTAGTTGTATTCTCATATTATTCATAAAAATGGCGAATGCGCTAGTCATAACTTAACTACCGATTGAGTTTTAGAAAATATTATACTTAAATGAAAGTTTTTCCTTGTATCTTAGATTGTTTGTATGCCGATTCACGGGAAAGCATCATTGAATCATTAGGTATTTAAGGAAGGTATATTAAATTCAAAGTACATCAGTTTCAAATTAATAACATATATAATAAAAGGTCAGTCGACGCACCTTTTGTTCCTAAACCAATGTTACATTGTTATTTCTTCAGTAATTCACTGTCAATGAAAAAATGAACAAGTGTTTGGTGGTCAGAAGTGATGCGATTTTAAATTATGTTTGTAATTTTTTTTTTAAGAAGGTCACTTGCATATCATGATTGCATAGGCGGTACCTAACTGTTTTAAGTAGTTCTAGCCTGAAGCTAGATATCGATGGGAACTGTATTTTATGTTTTAACGAGCGGTATAAGGTCCTGTGTTACTTAACATGACATAAACTATCTTTAGATCAGGGAGGATCTGTCGAAAAATCCCACTTGGATGTAAGAGGGGGCAAGCTAATTTTTGCTGGAATACCTTCAGTACAAGTCACATAATAAAAGTGTAGATCCCTAGATCTGGGCGAGGTCCGGAACATTTACAAAATTGCAAAAATATTTAAAAAATTTTTAAAAATATCTATTTTATCCGAGTTTTTTACTTATATCTTGGAACCTATGCATTTTGGAAGAATATTGAAAAGGAAAAAAAAGTTTTAGAATTGAATTTTACCCAATATACTGTAAGTTAAAAATGTTTAAATTTATTACCGATGTTGCAAAATGGCAATAATTGATGAAAAAAAGGCAAAATAATCAAGTTTTTGGATATTTTTTTAAAAAATATTTTAATTGCTCTGAGGGCATTCTAATTTTGGCAAAAAATAACTATAGATTATAATAAAACAACACACCAAATTTCATTAAAATCGGCTCGATAGTTTTCGCAAAATAATTTTTTTAAAAAAATTTTTCGAATTTTCAAAATGTTGCACAGCCTCAAATAAATCGTCTAGGTACTTGAAAATTTTTTCACATAGAAAAGACCGCTCAACCTTTCAAATGGTTTTTGAAAAATTGAAATCGGTTCATTAGGACGGCTACAGTAAATTTTTAAATTAACACTCTTTTTTTATTTTTAAATTTAATTTCTTTATTTAAAGATGTAACAGTTACAATTGCTTACAGAACAAGTGATGTATAAAATACGTTTCCCATGCAGCATAAATTTACTAATTTCCTACACTCGATCATTAATAATCTTGACTAAATATGGTACAATACCACAATATTTCAACGAACATTGTTGTGTCATGTAGATTGTCAGGGTACAACCGAATTTTAAATGTGTTTCTCCATGTAAAACATAAAGTAGGGACAGATTAATGAGGTCAAGGGAAACATTTTTAATT